CCAGCAATCATAGTAGAGAACTCATGTTGATCGTAAAGATCGTGAAAGGACGTGTCGTGGCGTAGAGATGTATCGTGATGTTGGTGGGGGGAAAAGAGGTAAGGAGACGACGTAGGCGTCGGGCGGGCGGGTAATGTCGCCAACGACGAGGGTGTCAATGAGGGCAGTTAACGGGCGGTGGGTCGATCAGTACAGGCGCAAACTCCACTCCGCCGTGGCCGGTCGACAGCCCCAGAAGTCTGTCACATGCTCCTATTAATGGCTCTATTGAGTCCTCAAATTTTATCCTCCTCACACGTCACTTGTGGGGTACAGCCAGTACGTGGGACTCGCCAAGACTGGAACACGTTACTACAGCGGTGTCCAAACAAATGAGGCATAGTCGAGTCACTTGCAAGTAGCACGACACCGTTCTTGCTGATCCAGTTGATTCAGATGGCTGCGCAACCGGGTCGCGTAACTGCAGTGCTGGTTCTCTCGATAACAGAGTCTAGTTAGAACCATGATGTAGTGCACTATTTCCAAAAGAACGTGTTGTAGTAGTACTCGTTCTTTTTCCACGTTGCTATGAACTTTAATTATATAAGCTTATTGATATTGGTGGAAGCAGAAATTTATTTTCCCCTTATTTTCCTTCCGTTTCCGCCGCACCGGGAATCTCTATGGAACCTGGGTCAGTGGAAGCCCCAACTTGTCCGGACAGATTTTTGGGTTTCTTATCCGGATGCCGTCCTGGATTCCATTTGAAAAAAAACAGTCCGGACTCTGGCCCAAGTCCTAAAAAATTTCAAGAAACACATTTTTTCTACTTCTATAGCAGCTAGGTGTGTTTAGAATGGCCGCGAGGAGCCAAAAAAAATCAAAAATCCCCCTGTACATCCCTCTACGGTGGCCCCGTTCCTCGTAGTTCCCGGCTTGCGGAACAACCTGGCATCTTCCGCCAACTGAGGTAAACCAGCTGATACGATGTGGTGCTAGCCTGGGCTCCAATAGGGATCCTATGTACCGTGCCTTTCAAATTTCAAAATTTGACGCACGCATTGCACGGCGTACACTCCTCTTGTTTCCGATCAAAGTATTGTGGGCGCTTGGTTCTTGTCATATTAACACTGTCGCAAGACCGGCTCAACTTCAGGATATAGGCTGTAACATCTACATGTGTGATGTATTAATATAACCACCTTGATAAAGGTCGACCGTCCTTCATAGGCGGTGGTGTCGAAAGCCTCATATGGTTGATGTTGAAGGGGCGAACGAGTGGAAGCCAGAGCGTGATGACGATGGTGATTCGAGCAATGTGGGCAGTTGGATAAGTTAAAATTTGGACTACACAAAGGGAGATGAGCTTTTGTCGAACGAGGGCATTGAACTGAATCGGAACGTGCATGGATACTGTCTTAGTAACTCCGAGTCAGAAGAGTGAGCAGTGGGCACAGTGTCGGGGGGTAAGACATTGACAGGCGGCGTCAACGAAAGATGACTGCTGCAACTAACAAAGATGAGCTCCGGGGCCTCTCGTATAGGCTTGGAGGAGCAATATCTCGTACCTTGAAGTGACGCAACCGAGGATTTTCAAACGAGTAACAGGGGACTGGGATCCGATAAGCCCGTAGATTTTTAGATACTTACTCTGTAGATCAATTGATGAATCCATACATTTTTATTGGTCGCAAGTATTCTGAGACACTGTTAAGTAGGTAAATATTATCGTGACAGATGCGACTTCGTTAGAGTTTGCGATAATTCTGTTGACCGTGAACAATCTAGCTTGCGCAATTGCCGGTCTTCATAAGCTACCTTCATTCTTGCCGATGGTAAAGCTAAGTCTGAGCAGTGAGCAGTGCCACTAAGTTTGTGCCAGGAGTAGTACTTTATGTAATGCTAGACTGGGGGAGCCGGCCGGTTATAATTATAACCTGGTATCGATCATAATTTCCTGATTAACCTTTTTAGAGGGTTACTGCATTTCACTCCCAGGTTGTCTATGCACGGCGCCTTGTTACAGGTTGTTACTACACGTTACACATGGCCGCGTTCCATCTGTTACTAACTATCTGTTCGTTGCTATTGTCGATGTCTCCCGTTGTCAAGCAAATCATTCCTCTGCGCTAGGGGACCTGCGAGAGAAAATAGACCGTGGCTTCATTATCTTTGTTTTCGCCCCCCTCATGTCCTTGGAAGAGGTTCAGTGATCCTCCTAAGCAAACATTCCTTTCAAAAGTTACTAGGTTGGAGGTGCCATTTTGAATGCTTGATATCATCAGTTATTGCCCAGCTTTGCTCGCACACTGCCAGCTGGTTTCAGACTAGCTCACTGCTTTACCTCTTAATTCTTCTCTTCGTTTTTCTAGTTCACTGGTATCAACTGCCAAGAGGTTTGCCTCGACGCTTCCTTTGCAAAGGCACGCACGCCATTTCGTTCCTTTTTGGTTTCCATGTCCGATGCATCCTCGACGTGCAACTTGGGATATAGCTTCGTCTCTTCTGCAGCGTCGAGTAATAATAATTGCGATGTGAGTCCAATGTCCTCTAAATTATTTTCCAAGCTGACGAGGACTTCAAGGTTGAACTCATATTATCTGACATTCCCTTCATCTCGGTCGGAATGTTAGCTTTCGGAGTATCTGCATTCTTTTTCGTCATCCGACATTTCACGCTGTGAGTAACCACAGTATCTTCTTGTCCGTTCAGAGCTGATGCTTAATTCAGCTCCATTATCTCCCTTTATTTTTCGGTGTTGCTGTCTTTCGCGGCTGTTGTCATTGACCTGACACAAATCCTCATCCGTGACATGATCCAGGTCACTGTGCAGCCATTAATCACAGCAAGGGAGGTTTTACTTGCCCTATCCATCGGCCTGCGTTTTCTGTTTTACTGGCTGTATGTCTCTGAGCCCCCTATCGGAGAACCCCAGCCCCGATGGAACAACTTTCTCACACTTAGCTCTCGGGATATCATCCACAGTGGTAGCTGGACTCGGTGGGGTGTTTCAGGATCGTATGCAAAGGTTGCTTTGTTGGCCACCATTCCCACTATCACCACTTTGCAAATCATTTGGCGCGTAATTCAACAATACCATATTTATGGTCCGGTGTATGCAGTAAATGTTACACTCGAAGTCGTAGTCTCCACATTGCTTCTTCTCAAACTGCTATTTAACACCATTCCGACCCCGTCGATTGCCCGATCGCACACTTTCAGGGAATATGAATTTCCCATTTTGGCGTTAATGTTTAATATTGGCATTTCTGCCGGAAACTTGATTTTGTGTAGGTTAAATGTTCATACATGCGTTGCTTAACTGATTTTTTCCGGCAGTCGCATTCACTGAGTCAATACTTGGCCGACTTCTTCAAGCAGTAGAGCTCTGCATCTTGATCGTCTTTATGATGATTCTCCACTTTTTCCGTCACAAAAAGACCCCAGCTACTTTCAAATTCAGGGATTCGGCACTGTTGAAAGTCAAATTGCCAGAGCAGGCCCGTGAATCGACATTCAGGCTATCCCCACCAGCGACGTCTACACCCAGAGTAACAACGTTTTTCAGTTCCGAAAATCAAAACAGAAGTACAAATGCTGATGCCACCCGTCATTCTGTCCTTGCCACCGTAAGATGTGCTCCCTGGGTTTCTTGGAGCATGTCCCATGGTCAGTCAAACCAAGATGAGGAGAAAGCCAAGCTATGGGACCAGGGCGAAGCTAGAAAGGGGGATTTCGATCCGAGTCAAGGCAGTGCCGGGAATCACAGTATGACTTCCGCCGCTTCTGTCACGGACAAGGTATCCACAGAATGGAAAGACATTGTGAATGATTCTGTTCTCAACTTCCCAAGGTTGTCCATGCTCGATGCCCAGTCTGCGAGCACCGGATCTAGGAACGGCTCAATGAGCAGTGGACAAATTTGGCATGCAGTTCGTGCTGACATACACACCCGCCCTCATCCTCTGAAGTTGCAGACGATGTCTCTTATTACTATTCCGGCGGCTGCAACATCCCCCAATGAAAATGGGGCCGCTGTTATCATGACTGCCCCTCCAGATCCTCCAGCTCAAGATTCGCCTATCTACGCGATCAAGGGCTTTACTCCTCAACCTCCACAAGTTCCCAGCAGGCAATGTTCGTCCAGCAGATCACTCGAAGAACTGCTAGAATTGCAGAATGAGCTAGATAAAACAATCGCAACGTTGCGATCGTTTTCTCCGAGTGCTCCATTTTCCCACTCTCCGACTTCCACTTCTCCAACTCCTACTTCTCCAAGCTCCCCCTCATCATCAAGAAGTGATTCGAACCAGGCTGACCAATCGCGTCAATCATCCTCCACTGGTGCGCGGACGCTGTCCGACTTCTCTTTGAGTAACTTCCCCTCCCCGCCATGGTTGGCCTCCCGACCTCCTTCTCTTCCTGCACTCTTACCGGCCATTAAATTACGATCGAAGGAAGACCGCCGGGCTCGTCTTCGATTAGGACAAGACTCAACTTTCGATACTCTTGGGCTTCCGCCGCCAAGAATTCCTGCAGCTTTGGCAGACATGCCTAGCTCTCCTCGTTCTGACCTCACGTCAGACTCTCCCTATCAGGATGACAACAAGATATTGCCTACGGACGCAGGGCGATCTTATAGGTTCGATTCTGGCGGAACGCAGTACGAGATTACGTCTTTCATAGGTGGCAAGTCTTGATTCTCGAATTTTCTGAGTGATTTCTAAAATATTTGCTGTAGATCTAACAACTCCTGATGGCCACAGGAATGCGACGATGAACAAGCCTTCGGATGAGTCTGGAGGGTGTGCTCTCAATCTTGGCATTGTTGAAAGCCACGGATCTAGGGAAGCTTCTCCCCATTCGTCCATATTGCCGTTCCGTTCGTCGCCTTTGGGAGCGGCGGAACTATTGAGATTACCATCATCCTGCGCAAGATATAGGCAACCGCAACTCTCAACGCAGATGAGGCTATCACCTGTCTCAAATTCTGAGTGGGAAGCTTCGGATCCGGGCCTAGAGTTGGCCGTGCCTCTAGTCCAACGTAGGATGCGACCTCTAATACTTCCGTCCATGATGATCACTTCCCCTCCTCATGTCCAGCCGTTGAACGTCAGGTCATCAAGAAGGTTGACTGGCCTTCCACAGAGACCACGACTAGCATCGGATTCTAGTGTTTCAAGGTCATTACCCGAAGATGTCCATGCTCCTGGAGCATTTGAGCGACCACGGCCGGCACCATTAATTCTCCGTTCAGACGACGAATATTTTTCAACAGGTGCAAGATGATGGTAACTATATTTATTTCTAACGTTATTTTAACTTTTTGCTGGTCGGACAAGTTCACAACTAAAAGTCTTATTTGTGATTCCTGTAAATTTGTTGTCGGATTCTTTGTGGTGCACCGTCTCACTGTACTTTGTTCGTTAGCAATGTGTCATATTATTTACATAGTTTGTGGACTATCCCTGACCCCCTTAACTGGAATTCCTAGTCGAACATGCAGGTCGTGGTAGTCAATGCGCAGGTGTATCTACGAGGAATCTATATTCACGAATTTCACTGAGGCTAGAGACAAGCATTTCGTTGAATAGGTATTTGAGGCGTATGCCAGTTAGGGGCAAGTATGGACCACACCCCACCTCCTTCCTCAATTGGAACATCATACGCGGGACTCAATCTCGGGCTGTTCCAAATTCGGTGGCGAAGTCCAACAGACACAATCCTCGAACGTCGTACTGACATGTACGCAGTTGTCATTAGCATGTGTGTCCCAAATGCTAATGATAAGACGTGGCGCGAGAATCATTGGCGCGGTACACTTGAACAATAGTACGAGATTCAGCACCACCGTCTGTGCATGCCTGCATTAGAACAGATCTCTCTAGAATCACAGGAAATCATACCGAAAGGTTGGTCCATAACATCGTCGAGACGATCTGACCTGCCAAATTCCTAGTGTGATTCAACGAATGCTTTCAGAGAACACAACAAATGAAGAGGAACTTACAGGACAAAGTATATGACATGATATCGGACAATCATTACTACGTAGGTGTTAGGCTTCATTTTAAGTTCCTTTTGCTCTTTCAGGTGTTTCTTGAGGACGGCAATGGCGAGAACAACCAAGAAAATATCAAAGCATATGACGGGGATGGAAGCATATATCGCAGTCATAGGCCCGATGTGGAAGAAAGCCGTGCAGTACTTGATATTTGGAGTTATTATTATTTCTTGCACTATACAACCAGGCATCATCAGCTTGCAAATAATTCAATCAAAATAGAAATTCACCTGAGAACGCTGAGGGTCGACTCCATAAAAATATATCCACTGCTATATAGAGCGCGACGATAGGTAGGAACAACCCCAGTAGAACATAAAGTATGATCTTGGATTTGTTGTATAGGACGTAAAGACGCCAGATGAGAATGACTGAAAATACAAAATCGGTAAGCGCAAAGGTGCGAGAATGTATGGATATGACTTACCTTCCGCCAAGCAAAAATATACAGAAAAACTCCATTGCATGAACAGAAACGTATCATAACCTATTTCAATTTCATGATAAGCAAAACTAGTTTCAGTTGAATACGATATACTTACAACTAAACAAGGGGTCAGCAGCAAATCAGGTCTAGCTGTAAAACGAACTTCTGACGTACGGCTGAATCTGGATCAGCTTAGAGCTCTCTAAAGAAAGAATCGACACACTTACTGCTGCAGGCATATAAAATAGACCACCCCCTAACGCTAGTCAGTTAATGACGGCCCAGTTGGTATCACGTCACATACAGGTGGCGGAATTCCTAGACGTTAGCGTCAACATACGATATACCACCTGAAGTATATAACCACCGCAACGTACATTGCAAGGACAATACCAAAATATCGAACCTGACATAGCAACAAAAATGGGAAACCACGAAGCACTTTGGCAGGGTGGGGCTCACAACAAGGTATAAACATGTCATCACTGACCACTGTCTTTGCTGCATAACTAGTCAGTTCCGGATCTTCATAACGTTGGAGTTGAACTCTAACCCAAACAAACGTGACCTGCGATGGTATGATTATGAGTACTCGACGATGATGAAACGACCCCCTCGTTACCTCTTTCTCGAACTGAAGCACTAGATAATATTACGCTCAGCCGCGTTGCAAGGTTCATGAAAGCTACTGACTGTATTCATAGGATATCAGGGTAATGATTGCAACTGGAAGACGACGAACTTCAGTACGATTATTCGTTTCCAACAAGACTGACGGACCTGCTACGCTGTTGTTCCATTCAAGAGCATAGAGAGATTCTTTTAGTCCCGACATGAAACTGTGCAAATCAAATGACGAATTCAAAGAGTGAAGGATGGGCTGCTGGTCACCAGCGTACACTACTTATAGGGTACATCGGAATCTCGTTAACTTCTAAGGGTTGTGAACTGGTGGTAGCCTAATGAAAATTTTACGACATCGTAACAAGCTTGCGGCGCCCCACTTTTCCATTTAATGTTACGGATCACTGTCCTCGATAATTTGCTCCCAACGGAAAGGTCCAACGATGATCACACGGCTGACAACTCGAAGGGTCACCCCGCGTCACCGGTGCTTCTCGTACTAGACTATGTCTGTCCGACCCTCTTATTAGGTAGCATGGGCAGTGCTTGTCTACCCCGGCATGGATGGAAAACACCGAATGAAGTCCCATCACCATTCATATAACCTTGACAAGCAAGTGCATGATCTAAGGCCGAACTTCGAAATCAGCGAGTTTGCACTTGCAGGACTCTAACATGTTGAAGTCGGTATGGCAAACTGATCTCTTGCATAGACATAGTTACGACGTCTTCGGGGAAGACAACCGGCGGGATATCCTATCTCACATTTATGAGAATATTAGTAACTTGACTATTCGCGGAGCAGAAATGATGGCCTGACCCTCAAGGTGGGAGTGGAGAACAGGGACGACGGGAGCAGCACTAGGGAGGGAGTGGGTATGAGCTAAGTGTATTTGGCATAAATTACGCTGGGCTGCACATGGTAGGCATGAATCGGCCCTCAAGACCTCAGTGATTATATAATTAACCTTACTTGATAAGGTTTATTTCACCAGTCGACCAACTCAGTAAGCTGAGCATATTACGTAATCACATTCTTACACGTAGGAGTTTGAACGTTCAAAACACACGTTGGTTCTCATCAATTCGTTCATGCACGTGCAATGCAATCTTACATCACTCTGTTAATCTCTCGATGTGACTTCGCATTCATGCGCCATACAGCTTACCCCATAAAACCCGATTTCTCGCAATACTCGGGAGGTGCCGGCCGCCGGCAGAAACCTTGCTTGACTGAGTTCATTTGCCGGAGTAGAGTAACGGCAGGCACGACTTTGAGGGAACAGGCTGTAACTGGACCATACTAAAGGATTGACTGAGATTAGCATGGATTGTAGATGAAGTACCAACATGGAAGATTCGATGAAATCATGATAGCATGTATCAAATTGTCAAAGTACTAGGAGTGGATGGAACGGATGTGAGCAACAGTTGTAAGGATAATGACGAACGTTAAGGTCAAGGTTACGTCCCAGGACGGGTTTCCATATATAGACAAAAAGCGACAGGTTGCATAGACAGGGATAGATACCAATGACTAGGAATTTAGGAGACAGGCTTGTGCAAAAACTGAGGGATGAAGGTGTGAGATAATAGACGCAGGCACAGTGGACGGAGGTCCTTATCCATTCGAGCGATCTGCATGTCCTAAAGATATCCTATCGAGTGACGAACTATTGCAGTCACTGCTATGTTTGCTTTCTGCGGAAGACAGTATTTTTGAAGCAAGCTAGCTATATGAAAATCCGCCATACCCGTCTCATCGTGATTCTGAGCCATGTCTCTGCCTCGAGAAGACGGCTGATCTACTTCTTATTCGTACAGTGTGATACTGCGTGAGGATCTGCTAGATCGATTGACCCTGACTTGAACCTGATTTTGGACAGGAAATCCCGTGCTGTAGTGGCGAAGTCCAATCCTCGAACGTCGTGCTGAAGTTTTCATTGGCATGTGTATCTCCGTCGGAAGCAATCGTTAGGCGGAATGTACTTGGATGATGTAATTCATATTCAACCCTAACACGACCTTAAGTTGGGAGCAAGCTTAGGGCAAGCTCCTCATTCTCCATACCTCATATACATACCTCGTTCTCTTCCCCTCGATATTCTTGATACTCCCCATGTCGAGCTTTCCCGATTATTATGTGCTGCTCAATGTATCAAAGACAGCCACCGCCGAGGAGATCAGACAGGCTTATAAAAGGGAGTCACTCAGGTGCTTTGACAGTCAATAACACTAGTTTCTTTCGGCTCAACTATTTAGCTTCGCAGGACTCATCCAGATAGATTTTCCAATGCCACCGAAAACGAGAGAAAGACGGCTACAGAAAAATTCCAAGTTCGTGCAACGTATCCACACTAGAAAGCATGTTAACCTAGCACTGAGCAGGCTGTAGCCGATGCCTACTATGTTTTATCGGATCCAGTACGACGGAAAGAATATGATGCACTATACTCATCGAATGGAGCCGGTGATAAAAGCAGTGACCCAAAGGCCTCTTCGAGTTTCTTTACGCATTTTGCCAGCATGTTTGGCGGTGCAGGCGCAGCACCAGCTCAAGGGTCGAGACCTGATGCTGAGAACGTATTTGCGGACGTCTTTGAAGAGGTTCTACCTCCATTTTCTCAGCCCTGTATATCAGTTAACATTTGTGCAGCTTCTCCGTCCGGAGGTCGAACGTCACGCACCATGGTGGTCATACCTTGGCGCCGTTTGTGGTGGTGGTCGGTTACCCATCTTCTTATATAATTCTCTTAATGAATCATTTATCCAACAGGAATGGGATTCATAGTTGCCAATCTGCCGGGTCTTATGATAGGCGCATATGCAGGTAACCGCGTCGGTGCGATACGTGATGCCAAAGGTAAGAGTGTTGCTGCCGTATTCTCCGAACTTGGAGGTAGCCAGAAGGCGGAGGTAAGCACCCAATTCGTTGACTCCGTTGTGCCGTCTGACGAGGTCTAATCAGATCTTGCGCGCTTTAGCTGCGAAGGTGCTAGGCGCCACTATGTAATGAACATGTTATAGTATGCGTCGTACCTATATTCTGTCCTATATTTATGTTCAGGGAGCCACGCCCTCTATTAGCGTATCGTTAGATTGTTTTACCCTCTGTCGTTGACGCTGAACGTTGAACAGAGGTCTCCACTCCGCGATATCGTTTGTAACATTAGTTAGCATCATCCTTGGTTTAGTTGCGCATAAACATAAAACTTGACGTTGTGCGACCACTTGATTAACTTAAGCACTTTTGAAATTAGCTGGTAGGGCACATACGCCGCCGACCACAGTGGTTTCGCACGATTACGAATCCTGTATAAGTTGGTGAAACTTATCTTGCAAGTTTGGGCACAGTGGCTTGTTGATCACCCCCAGACTTATCAACAAAACGTTTTGTCCATCTCGTCCTCGTCGGTGAGTAACTCTGGAGATCGCTCACAACAACCCTATGATTCACTTCACAACCTTAAACGACACATGATCAGGAGCATGCCATCTGTTATCACTTTGTAACGGACTCGCATTTGAATTATGGTTAACAAAAGGAGTACGTGGTACCTGTCCATGAAACACTCCTCGTCGCACGAATGGACAAACTTTTAGGACGCTCCGTACTCGAGGACGGCACCGACCGTACAATGACAGACCCATCTTGTGATATCGTTGGTGCACGTGAGTTCGTATCTGGTGAACATTTCCTTGCTGAGAAATAATAACGTCTCAAAAGCATGCATTGTCTCGCCAGCATTCAAATTCAAAACCAGTGACACAGTGGCGACCTCCAGCCAACCACGTATCCCAGACGACCTGACTACTAGCCTGAGTTCGAGCCCGCCTCAGAAAAAATTGAAGCACAAGTCTGTAACTCGGTGTGGCTCAAACGCTGAGCTGAGCACTTCCGTGAAACAGGCGACCGTCAGCGGTCGCGCTACTCGGTCTTCGTTCGTCTCGGTGTCCAATACATCCCTTAGGTCTGCAGCAAGCAAATCGCCTCGGATGTCAGCACGGTTGGCAAAGAAGATCCATCCATTTATTCTTACAAAAAGTCGAGACATCTATCCATACTTAGCTTCCAAGGATTCTTTGGACTCGGTTGAGTCATTGCGAGAGGAGCACGGTGGCACAGGGAGCTCGACACTTGCAGCATCTACTCTCAAGAAGAAAAAGGGCCCTCTGCGTAACATCAATCTTGCAGATGATAGTGCAAAGGCTGCGCTCATGGAAGAGTGGGCAAATCTTCGCATGTCTCAAGGAACACTGCTGTCAAGTACGAGTGCAGGTAGGGATATAACGCCACACCTGTCGAGCAACTGTGGAAACCAGGAACCTTGCAACGAAGCGTCTGGTGAAGTGGCTGAAGTCAACAAACCCCATCCCATTCCAGCCAACGACCAAATAGAACATACTTATCCTCGGCCTTCCGGCTCCCTGTCTAACCAAGTGACCGAGCCACTCCCAGATTTGGATATGCCTGCTACAAATGAGTTGCTACTCACCCCCGCGCTCCCGCAAGAGGTATTGGCCCCACATAACAGTTTACCAGAATATGACTTGAGGTACCCGAGCTCGTCCCCAGAGAATATTCATCCAGCGATTGAGGATATGACTCCATTACATAATGTTAATGAGGGGACAACGGAAATAATAGCCCAGGCCTCACATACCCCTGTCATCGGTTCTCCAAAGGTTGTGAACCAGCCCCTCCAACTACTTGCTGCCGATAGTAAAATCACGACATTGCATCCCCCAAGTAGTCCTATACTGCCAAAGCTTGATACCCTCCCCGAGACCACGATTTCGACTAGCCCTGCTGTCCCTGTTGAACCTGAAGATTCTTTGGCCAGAGCTTCTTCTGCTGCCGATATTGAGCTCGTTATCTCATCTCAAGCCGATATCGAGGATGTCGTTTTGGGTTTTCACATGGTGGGCCTGCATGAGGTGCTTTCGCCATGGGTGCCATTGTCTCCCACAGCGCCATCTGTTTACGTCCCACCTGCTGTGCAGCACTTAATTGCCGGTACTTGCCCTAGTCGACATTGCTTTTGACCTGAACTGACTGTTTCTATCAACTAGCCATGAACCATGAACTGGAAATTGAATGCCAGGCTCGAATACGAGCTGAAGAGCTTTATCTAGATGAAATGCGCAAGCGCATTAAGATGGAAGAAGTGGTTGATAGGTTACAGAGGGAACGGGGACAGGTACAGGAGCAAGGTGCATCTCAGCAGCCTCCCTCATTGCATGCTTCACCGCATGCGGCTTCGGCGCACGTAAGCCTAGAAGAAGCTAGGCAACAGGATGGTGAAGCTAAACCAACATCCACTGATATCACTTATCTGAATGTCACGACGGAAGGTTCTTGTGCTTGAAGCATCAAGTCATTTCACCAATCAACTTGCTTTCAATCTGATTCCACTTCTACTTTGTCACAATCTATACAAACTCAACGATCGATATACAGATCTAAGGTTTTCATTAGTGCCATCCTTAAGTCACGTCGAACCTGCATACCATTTATCTCCAAATAATAGTCCAGATACATGATTGATAAAATACAGTTTCGTCGATCACCCAAGAGAAAGAGGGAGCATTCTACAGAACAATTGATTTACTTCAATGGCAAAGAAATCTGCAAAACCGTAACTGCGGTATCAGAGTGTGTGCATTGTAAGTGCATTGGGAAAAATATTGCTGTTAAAAAAGAAAAAGGGATTTTGGATCCAGTCCAGACGGAGGTGCATGCAAATACTATCATATGGAAATGAGGCACAGACAAAGACTTCTGAAAGATAAGATCCTGATAATTGTGGTTGTGGGGGTCGATGGGTCACCTAGTGCCAGAGCTCGCCCACTTGAGAGTCTATCATGACAGAAGGGAAATCACGAAGGGCGTCATAGTCGCCCAGACCCGCCGCACCGTTGGCTATTGCCAGACTAAGAGCCGCAATGGCCTTTTCAGTCCGCGAGGCAGAGGAGGTCACAGACACATCTTCCTGGTTGGACGCAAAGGATGCGGTGGTGGGATGAAACGATGGAAAGACCGAGTTTTGGTGTGTGGGACTGGAATGTGGTGCCTCAAACGAACGAGCTGGAGAGCTGAATGAAGGGCCAGATAGAGGTGGACTAAATGTTGTGGTATAAGCAGAATATTTATATGCTGGAGATGATGATGTTGAGTGTAATGAGTCGAGGGGAAATGTGGTATTGAAGGAGTGGCGGGAAAGATCGTCTGCGTCGTCGTTGGAGAAAGAAGAGCGGGTGGATGCTTGATCCACGTATTCTGAGAAAGGGCTAGACTGCATCTCATCGCTGTCCAAGTCCATGGAACCAAGGCTCGATGCTCGCTTTTGACGCGAGACAGGGAGACCACAAAGTTCTCCGGAGTATATTTGGATATCATCCTCGTCGCTCTCAGAGCTGTTAGACCTTCGGATAGATCTGGTCACGGGGACGCTAGGGGAATGCCGTTTCTTGGCTCTTTGTCTATCAGCGGTTCTAGCGCGCTTGTATATACCCGATTTTGAACGGGAACGCTCAAAATCACGCATCCGTTTTACAAGGCCTTCCCCGCTTACGGCAATACTCCTGCGGAGTTCCCAGAATGCATCCGACCTGAGGCGAGTAGCGTCAGCCTCGGAAATGTCAGAATGCGAGTCCCGAATGCCGACAAAGTTCATGGAGCTCCTTCTTGACTTTTCAGATGCGGTTTCTCTGTGGCTTGAGCGGCTAGGAAATAGGAGGAAATCTTCTGGGGTAGCAGCGAACAGTGGAGTTTGTGGAGCGGAAGAACTGAGTCCGGAACTGTGGCTATCCGTCGACGCCGGAGTGGACGACCCAGTGGTATATGTCACGGAAGGGAGCTGAAAATATACAAGATAATTAGTGACTCTAGGATATACGCCAGCAATGTCATTGGCACGAACGGATATATCTCTGCGAAGTCTCTTGCCCGTCCGCCAAAAGTCGAGATTGCGTGTTTGGGAGGATGCAGAGTCCGGAAGGGCGAGGCTATTGCAAGATGAGCGAGCTCGTTTGCTTGCTGGACGCCATAGAGCTTTTGGAACGGGCGAGGGTGAGGGCGAAGAAGCTGAGAGAGATCGTCGGTGGTAATTAAATGTTGACGAAGACGACATGAACCTTGAGGGTAAGAAAGATTGAATGGGACCTCTTCGTCGATACTGGCGGTGATGAGACCCGAATAAACGATGAAAGGTGGTAGTAGTGGTAGAATGGAAAGAGACTCCCTAACGTTCCGCGTCGCTTGAAGGCTCATAATCGAATGACATACACCATATCAGCTTATATAACGTGTGTCATGTATGTAGCCAGACCCTTAGTTAGCGGCATCTTCAGAATTGAATATCGAATTCGAACACCATTCGAGTCCAAACATCACCGTCTTACCCGCAGGCATCATCCTTCTCATTTTAAATAGCAAGTACTTTGTGCAGTAAGATACGAGATGTGGCGTTATAGCTCCGTTGTGCATTGACAGGTGGATGTGTCATAGATGGAAGAATATGTTCTCCCTCGGTTCAGTGGATTAGTATTAGCGTGATTGTCAACTTGAACGACCAATGGAGTGGAAGAAATGAAGCCGGTACACTGCGCATCAAACTTGACTTCCATAGATGAGTCTTCCAAGAAGTTGTTCATTCGCTTCCGACCTCCCAGGATTTCAAGAAATCGTAATTTTCGAAAGTTCGGAGTCCCGTATGTCCGGCGATGGTTTTCTCTCACGTCCGACTCGTTGACTGTGCTTGAGGATGAGGGCATGAAAGCTGAGAGAATTTGAAATACCCCAGATACCTTCCTCAAAGGTGCCTCGTGTTACGCGCTTACCTTTGCCCTGGAAAGAACTTACGATCACCAGGTACAAGGATGTATGCACCTTATTCGCGCAAAACGTGGGCGCATCTGAGAAGGCGTGAATTCTTACCATATAAGTTCGATGTATATGAGCGAACTAGTCCAGGCCAAGGTGACGCAGCGGTCATGCGTGCCCTTCAGGTGATCGCAACCTGCCATGATATTCGGTGACACCCGTCAAGCCTGGCCAGGGAACCCTTGTCCAACATCGCAATAAAGATAATACGTATCGACGCGTATCTTCGTTACAACCTTATTCTCAGCGCCGCTCACCTGGCGGCAATGACGACACAGATTGATTTACGCTTGCAAGTGCGCTCCAGGTGCCTCGAGACTGCAATGAAACAGTACCCATCGAGCGAGGATGACTTCTACTACGGCAGGATCTAGACCTAGAACTCTGGCCCAGCTCTAAGTCGCTAATACTGCAGTGTTAGGCACCATTCTCTGATAACGTCTGAATAACTGACCACGAAGTACACAGACAAGTTGAAACAGACCGTTGATGCGACACGGTATTATATCAATCGCTGGTGTAGCCTGAACCTATGTTATATGACATAGCTTGAGAAGGGAAAGTCGGAATCTCACTTGACGCAACTCCCCTGCGTCCGACGTTCGTGCAATCTATCTTCATTGTTTAGCTTTACTTCCACGTCAGGTCCAAGACCCTACCTGCTTCATTAAATCTGTCGCAGGCTTTGAAATTCTCTTCTTCAGCCACGATGAGTAGTCATCCATCTCGGGACGATCATCTGAATTTTGAATTCGCTGCAGCACCGATTGGAGGTGCGACGTCCACGGAGAAGACTGCATCACCACGGCTAAGGGTCGCAATGATCCATAAAGGATTTCGGGGCAGCATATTGAGGTAGGTGCGCACCAGTGTGTTCGTCTGCATGCCTCAGCAGCTGTGAGAGAGCATCACATATTGTCGGATTGACAACAAGCGCAAGGGGGCTTTCGTCTCCAAAATAATCTTGTGACCCGATCATCAGGAGAACATTTCGTAGGAAATCCCAGGCCTCTGCTTGGGTAAGTGAGTCGGGCAGTCGGCGAGATAAGATGATATGCAAAGCAAATGCAGCTATGGAATAGATGTGAGAAATTTACGATGCAATCTCGATTCGACCCTCACAAGCCAGGGCTAATTCAGGAGCGGTGTTATCCATGGCAACTTGCCAGATACTTTCGATATCCGACAACAAAGGAGCATCACAGACCCTAATTCCTGGTTGTCCACGTTGGAATGCCGTTAAACACGAGAGGAAACTCGTGGACAAGTTCTGCAGTTGCATTTCTGCGGATTTATGACGCAAATATTCCATCGTGGCCTCGAGGAACTCGATTATCAACTTCTGATCCGAAATCTGGACATTTGAAAAACATGCGATCGTCAAAAAGTCGAGAAATTGTTTCGCTCTGCGAATATGATTCTTGTCAGGCTTATCCTCGAGTAGCTGCCTATGAAAACGTAAGTGAGCCAGAAGTATTCCAGTTGGCGGAATGCTCGCATCCGAGTATTGGACATGCCTGTTCCAAACGTATTATTATTTGACGATTTACAAGATATTAACCTACTTTTCTCTAGCTGATCATAAAACGTCGATGATTCCTGTATCGCCTGCTTCCAACCGTCCCTCAAACTCTGGGCTGCATCCTAGCCATGGCGTGTGTAACGTAGTCGCTAGCTGACGTCAATCATAAGACTGAGCAACGACTTTAACGCAGGAAGAGTTCGACTCGCCATCGTGTCCGTTTTCAATGCACGAAAGATAAACAAAGAGAAGAGTGAGGTATCTACAGCAATCACTAGACTTGCGAATGCCTAACAAATCCGAATCGCTCCAATGAACGAAGTACCGACAGGTCTTCAGCAGAACATCCGTTTGAGCTGTGGTGAGATTTCGAGGACGCGGAGCTGAAGAAAGATACACTAAAAGCCGAGAAAAAGTAGGCCTGCAACCAAAGCGATCAGAGTATTAGGACACCCAACCTGCATACTACTCACAAGATATGCACAAATCATATATTTGCCGTGTTCGTCGCCAGTAAAGGTCGCCAGCGTAGATATGGTAGTTTGAGGGTCCGAGTCGAAAGTGCAGTGAAGCCACGTAGTCGTCTACTCTCATCAATAGAGGTCCTTCGGAGAAGGTGGAGTCCTAACCAGAAAGATGATGGTCTCCGAATCAGACCCGTTACATTCCGTGAGCAGTCGCCAGGTCCAAGGTACGAAATGCCTCCATAAAATGAGAACGACCCGCGGGGCATCGAGGTCTTGGCAAGGCGATACAACAGTTTGCGCTGAGAACGTGTTGTCGACAAGCATGACAAAACGTAGCAGTCTCATTATTGTCGCTAGCGTGTAAGGTCGAAACCGAACGTCTGTTTCTGTACTATCTCTTGTACTCGTCGTAAGGTCCAGGAGCTGTGATGCATTAACTGACATCGTTTCGGGCTGAAGAATGAGAAATACGAACAGAGAACAGTGAGAGCAGCATTGCGCAATTCATGCGCTCCTGAAACCCGGATTGGTGTTGCGCGTGTAGCGGGGAGCACTCTGAGAGTTGCGCCACAGTGTGTTGCATAAAGCCTGTGAGATAGGGAAGCAGTGATACCATACTGTTGACACGATCAGGTCTGGCGATGTTAGAAGAGTCAGATGTACACTCACCTGTCGTCCAGTGGAGCATTGATGACCCTTGGATGAAGAGCCAACTGGGGTTGCAATACATATCGCGAAACCAAGAGACGAAGGGCTAAGCGCTTTGCGGCAGGTGAAGCCTTTTCAGATGTCAGTATCGACGGGACGGAATCCCACCTATCTGAAGCAACATCAATAAGACTGACATCTGACAAGATCGCTGACTACCTGGGAGCTGAGTCGCAGCCCGTAGATTATCTTCCTCTCTTCGTTTCCTCAAAATTTCAGGAAGCTCATCGTCAAAGTAGCGATCATGCATGGCGCTCGCAACACATGAAACCACATCACTGATTCTTGCAAGGACAGCGTCCACCCAAGATATAATGATGGGAACGACTACGACTTTTTTGAGCTCCTGGACGGCTAGGCGTGGAATAGACGCCGGTACTGGAACAACAGATTTAGGAAGGACGGTCGCACTGGAGAATAAGCACCTCATGAGCAGAGGCAAATGGGAGACAGGAATTCACCTACGTAAGTGAGCGAGGCATTCCATTATGCGGCGCACATCATGAGCGGAAGTTGGACTCGTCGTAAGCACGACGTGCAAGAACTCTAGGAGTGAGGTCGATGACTCCTGAATGGTTCCATGCAAAGACGCGTCCTGTGCACGTTTAAGTACGATGTTAGTATTCGTTGATTTCGAGAAAGATACTACCTTGCGAATAAGACTGAAATCCAAAGACTCTAATATCTTGACAGCTGAATTCACGGCGCTAATTGGATCTGAGACATGGGTTTGGGGCGTGTTCACTAGCTGAGCGACACTGTCGCTCAGCGTACTAGTGGTGGAATCATCGGCGTGGTCCAATGGGCATGCTTTCGGAAGTGATGAAGGAACGTCAGACTCTGGCTCAGTCTCACTATCGGACATGAGATACAAGGTGGAGGGGCATAAAAGCAAACCATGGTCATCGCTCTTGTATTATATTTGCACTGAGTGACACAGAATAAAGTTGCATCGAAGTCGGAAGCATGACCACCGTCTTCGATAGCTACCGTGACCATGCGTTTACCATAAATATCTATAGTCCTTTAATGCCCTTTAGAAAAGCAGTAATATCAGAGTTGCATTCTAAATGCTCCTCGTTTTGCGAAAACACAGCTTCAAATGCTTCGTGTCCTTCAGCAGTCTACACCAAGTAATCAGCACCCACCAAAAAAGAAAGAAGAAAGAAGTACTTCTCCGTCACAAAAGTCTAGGTCTTCCCAGACCTCATCTTCTTCAGCTCGGATGGCAAGCAGCATTTCACGTCGCACGGCAGATAGACCTCCTTGTAAATTACCCTTGTCATCCGCAGCTTTTCGCGCAGACACTTGAACCTCTTTCACTTCAAGAGGTTTTTTTTCTTTCTTTGATGTAGTCTGTATTGGCGGCGGCTCATCAGGATCAGGCGGAGGACCATCATCAGAATCCTCATCAGAACCAGCATCGCCTCTCGAACGTCGACTCTTTCGAGACATGATATCCAAGTACGTTAGCGTCGGTCGAAACTGATGGGTTTCGCTGATGGGTTGCAGATGTAATTGACCTTCACGCACTAGATGAGACCGAACGGCATCGCCACAGACGGGGTGCATCACGGACCATTGCGAACCACTCCCAACATATACGCGCCCTCCTGCGGTATCAGTTCGCTCCGCATGCGCGCTTCGATCAACCGCGGCTCCTCTCCTTCCATCTGCTTCATCTTCCCAACATCCTGGTTTTTTTCACGGTCATCCTCTTGTCGAGCAGCACCAAGTTCTTTACTCCGTTCACCATTCCACACCTCTGGCCGCGGATCCACTGGTACGTGGATCTCTAATCTCCGCGTGATTGGCTTTATTCGTGCTCGAATTCGTTTTCCGCTGACTGCAGCAGCGGGCGGTGTTTGTAATGGACGAGAAAGAAGCGGAAATTGGTGGATGTGCACGTTCGGGCTGAGACTGTTTGAGTAGTGGATAGGCAGCACGCTTATGAGCTCGTCGCCGTCCATTGTAAACCCTGAGCCTTGATAGGCTAATCGTGGGAGTTTTGAATATTAGGCCTTTTAAATTTTAGGGACCGTCGGTCTCCATCGATGTCATCGGGCGCGTCTTGGAAACATGTACGCATCTCACTTTCCTTTCACAGCGCGGGGAGCGCATGTACAAGCGCCGTATACTACAAGCGCCCAAGTATCATTTCCTGATATATATAAAGTATGCGCGTTCCTCATCCTCGTATTGCGGCCTACGGTATTGCTGACTTCTCAGTATCACGTCCCATGGTGGCACTGGTCTCGGATGGTCGACGTGCATTCACCCAAGAGTCTCTGACTGCCAAAACAGCAAAAGTATCAGAAAGAACTGTTGCACAAAGTAACGACGCGTAAGGATGATGCATTATGATCTAGAGCTGCGTCTCACAAACATGCAGTTGCATTATGCATTTGTGACACATGACGACTGTCAGTGACTTCATCAGCTCAGCTTAATAGCAGTGCAAGTGAATTGGAGATGCAATGTCTATGTTACAATATGATTAACTTGTAATGAAGGTTGGTTGTCCAGATCAGGACGTGGTGATAAACTAGGTAAACTATCATTATATTGATGCCCCAAGAAAACCCTCTCCGTGAGTTTCGTATCGCTTCTATGACAAGATGAAATGTCATCAGGGAAATAATCGACTTCAGGCGTGGATGGATGAGTGGGTAGGAAGGTATTAGGGTGGGTTTCGACTGGGTGGGGAGATAATGCGTTGGAATGAGGATCTCCTCGCAGGGAACGGGAGGTTGTGGAGTCGCGTAGAGCTTCGGCATCGTATCGACAATTCGTCGGACAGCGCCGGGTGCGCACTTGGAATGAGCGTCCAAATGAAGACCTAGGAGCTCTTACCCTCCCCTCCGCTAAAAGTTCCGCGGTACTGCGGTCTGTACGCAAAGTATGATGCGAAGCGCTAGGCTGCTGTAGTAGGGCTTCGTTTTCGTGGCGGCGAATGACGCGACTAAAACTGTGGATCACAAGACACGAAATCAAGGCCCCTGCATCAGTGTGAGTTTTCAGAACACTGGATGTGGGTTGAGTGGAGCTAACTCACAGTCAAAGGCCATCCAAGCTACGTGATCGGCTGGGCTCGAGCTGTTAACACCGACTATAGTCATTATGACCGAAGCGACGGTGGAAGCGGTGATGAAGGTGGTATAGAATAACTGAATAAGCACGTAAGGCTGGAAAAGATTAACCAAAAAGACTGGCTTACTTCATCTCTCATCACTTCTTCAAACAACGCCTACTCGAGGCATATATCGACTTATGCGACTTATGGACGAGATGGCAGGGGAAGAGGGCCGACGAGGAATTGGGACATCATTGCAAGTATTTGGAAGTGTGGTGGAAACGTGGATTGTGGATGTACGAATGGGAGGAGGTTCTGTAGGCAGTAGAGGGATGGGCGGTCTAGAGGGGACATTCTCCGGATCACGCACTCTTTCACCAGTGCGAAACTTGGAAAGACCGCCCATGGGAATGCTCGAGTCACGGGAGAGAGACTGAGTTCTACGAGATCTTTGGGAAAATGGAGGATTATCTACGGTAGGAACATAGTCCCACCAGCCGCGGCGACTGTGAGTAGTCTTGTGACTCTCGATGCTCTCTTTTCGGGTGTCTAGATGGGGATCTGGGACGTCGTCAAGAGAGAGTGATACAGTAATTCTGCCCCGGACGGCGGAACCATGTGATTTCCAGACAGCATAAAGAACTATGATGATGAGTCTCGTTGGGATAAAGTAATACGTTTGGACTCACAGCAAAGACAGATGAATAGCGATTCGACGAATAAAAGTATTATGAAAGCATATGGGATGGGATTAGATGGTCGATAGCAGCGGCCTGTTTTTTATTTATTTAGTAGATGAAAGTGGGGATGAGGAAAAGTCAAAAAAGGCACCTGCAAGGCTGCGAAAACTGTTAAGTGATGCAAGATCAAGAGCGAGGAAAACAATTGCAGCAGTCCTGAGTGCAACCAAGACGACTAGAACTAAGCGAGAGTTGTCTAGACATCGGTAAGCCTTTACGCCTAGAATACCGGATATCTATGTAGAGTTTAGCCATGAGGGAACAATGAATGAATATAATTTGCAAAGCATACCAATAAAGATAAAGATATTCCTGCACTAGCGACCGTGATGCGCATGATGCTGATTACGTAATAAAATCAATTGAGTGTTAGTATTTGAAAGATATAGGATTGACAAACAGTTTGCAATCGAAATTGGGGTTGAATTGGGCGATAAGCAAGGGTAAGATGGAGACAGGTGCGAGAAGTTGACTGAGGAATAGAGTGTACAAGAGACTCTTCTTGCGAACTCTGCCTGACCATAAGAATGCAGCTGATAGAATTATATTCCTTGCGAATATGGTGAAGATGGATGCCATGATGATGAGGGCGAGATAAGTAGTAGAAAGGTCGTTGAAGAGTGGGGGTGCTACGACTGAGCCATCGCCGAGTAAATGGTAAACGGACTTGGTTGGTAGACCTGAGGAATCTGCTGCGGTTACTGTGATGAGCTGTACGACGACAGGGGACGGTGGTGAGTGGTATGTGTGCGTTGGGGGAGAATCGTCCATAGTACTACATGAAAGTGTACATGAGGAGAAGGATTGCTGCTAGCTATAGTCAAGCGACGGAAGTTTCTCAAAAAGTGTAGATTGTATTGATGACGGTCGTCCGCTCAAAATGCAAATGACAGCATTAATCCGATCACCGCACTCAATTTAGTATCCACCTCTAGTTACATACCCTCGGATTAAATTTCCGTCCTTTCCTTACATAATTCACCCGACATGCCACAACGTTACCCCGTTATCATCATCACTGGAACTCCAGGTACTGGAAAGTCAACCCATGCTCAACTCCTACAAGATGCCTCTCCAGTCCCTTTAAAACATATCAACGTCGGCCAATTAGTAAAAGATAGCGGCTTTCATCACGGGTTTGATGAACAATGGCAAACATACACCGTAGACGAAGACAAGGTCCGCGGACATCCAACCTCCACTTCTCTATCTCATTAGTCAATATTAGCTCTTAGACGAACTTGAACCATTGGCATCCGCTGGTGGAATAATTCTCGACTGGCACACTTGTGAAATATTCCCTGAACGATGGGCAGATCTGGTTGTCGTTCTACGCTGCAATCATACCCTGCTCTGGGAACGTCTCGAAAAACGGTGTGTACCCCCACCACAATCGAAATCAGCCCAGATCTGACGCGATCGCAGTGATTACCCTCTTAAAAAGATACAGGAAAACAATGAAGCGGAGATAATGGAAGTCGTCCTCCAAGAAGCCCGAGACTCCTACCCCCAAGAGATTATCGTCGATCTCAAAAGCGAATCTTCTCAAGACCTTGAAAATAATGTCGCAAACATCGTTGAATGGATAAATCAGTGGTTGAAAGATAACAGTCATGGCGATGAGGAAGATAACAACTCTTTCTAGCAATCGCGCAGTACGAATAGACTCCTGATTACGCCTTGCGCCCAAGCAGTCATTGACATCGGTACCGCATGCCTTTTATAGAAAGATACCGACTTCCATATGTTATATCAGGTCAGAGACTAACCTTGGGCAGCCTTTATTGAAAGTCTATCTGACAGAATAACTTACATAACTAAATCAAGGTCCATATGTACACATTAACATGTGACGTCACCCCACCTGAGTTGAGACCTCACTTATGCATACTCGGGAATGCAATGAGCTGCGAACCTGTCAAGAAGTGAAAGCACTTGCAATTCATGACAAATGCAACTGAGCGTATAGGTCGTTCCGGTCCGTGCATAGAGGTTCTCCTAGGAGTTATGTTTGGTCTCCAGATTCAGATTACCACTATCATACCTAATAATACAGTTCTCCTGCACCTGTGGTGCTACGCCTATTTGCAAAATGTATGTCCGAGGAAAGCGTTCGCGGAAGACACCCCCGCGGTGGACGGCCCGACGGTACCTTCGCACAGCCATGAACATGACTCGGAACATGAGGAGCTGCGGAACTACAAAAGAAAGTGATGATAGTTCCTGGGTCGAATCATTATACTATCAGTGTCAAAAGCAGGGCATAGCTTGACTTGACATGGCTGTATGGTCATGTGGATCTCGGGCGTGCGCATGACGTGCGGAAGCCCTGGTACACGTATCTTGGTGTATTGTGGCCCGTTTGCAGGAGGGCCAACCGGCCACGATACACTGAGTCGGTGCGCTCACCGCTCAGGCTCCATTACCCATATGTATGTTACTTACATAAGTATTACCAGCGGTTCTTTGGATTCGGTAGAGCATCGTCAAGAACTAAGATGCGTATCTCACCAGCGGCATCAACACGATCACGTGAATCCTTATAATAGCATGAGCTCCCGGACTGTTCGGATCCTGATAGAACAAAGATAGTCGTCAGTGTAGTTACGATAGCAGAATATGACACTGAAGCTTGAAGTTTGGACCCTCCTGTTGTTCCATAAACCTAAAATTTACCATCGCCAGATAACTGAAGACCGGTAAAAGAAGGCCCAGCGCCTGCAGTTATCTGACGATAGTAAAAACAATTTAGCTGAAGCGTACTAGCACCAGCATGCCCCAATCTGATAAATACGGAGATAGCATGCACTCAGAATGGAAGACGTGCCTAGTTGGGAATGGCCTCAGCTAGGTAGCACTGTCCATTTCAATGACGTAAGTCTGCCACGAGTCGTGTAACAAAAACTTCGAAGTTCGGGAGGGAATAGAGTGGTGAATGAGTGAACGAGGGTCAATTCGCTGCTCAGTGGTGATAGAAATTTAACAAGTACAGACCTGATTTTATATGTAGAGGGGCTTGGACAAGTCACAAACAAGGTAAAGAAAGGGAGTGGCTCAATGCGGCACAAAGGGAAGTTCATCGTCAGAAGAGTGTCAATAACTCCTTACAAACTTTGGTCCTGAGTAGAAACAAAGCGTCCAGAAAGGGATAAGTAGCTCCAAAAAGACAATGGGACGGCTGGGACGTTCTAAACCTAAGTTGGAGGACCGGGACGACAAATGTAATATCACCGCATGTACTGGCGTTCAGCTCAGGCAGGACATCCCGTTTTCCGTTCCGCAGCATCACAGCTGACCGCAGACAGGTAGACGATACCAGATTCATCTAAGTAATGGACGTAGGTATGTCACTTAGGACCAGGGCGACAAATGTGAGATTGTTGTGTGCTCGGGTTTTGAACTGAGACCAAATAACGACATCACAATTTTCATCCCACAGCACCTGATCGCAGACAGGTAGACAATATCAGATTCATGTCAATGATACATGTAGGCAAGTCACCAGGAGGGCACTGCCCACGTACAGGTTTCCTCACAAGTCTGGACCGACAACAGAGGAGTTCGAGGCCGCTATGGACAGCGAACAGCTTTGCACATCGCCGTCCTTCAAATGAAACATCATCGAGTTCGTCATGAAATGTACGGTGCAACCAGAATTGCCATCCATCCACCTTAGTCCGACAGCACACGGACATCGTGATCATTGTACTAGAACAGTTCCTGATTCCGGACCTTTTGATAAGTATAGGACACGCAACTTGTTCGCTGATCAACACACCTTTCAACATGCTGGAGATGCCTATTATGACAATGTGTGAGATATAGAGGGCCCGGTATTGCCTTGTGGTCTCTGATACATGAACAGTTCAAGATGGCGGTATACCACGTATACCGAGACCCTCGCAAGCTCAGCACTATTCGTGCGTCGAATAAGGATGGAAAGAGCTATCAAATAGGCTCCAGTCAGAATAGTGGGGTATGGTTGCGTTGGCACGATGAATTGGGGGCTCCATCTAAGTAATGTGTCTAGGAATATGCTGTACTGCGGGTGAAACAATTCAATTCAATGATAAGGTGTCAGCGCTGTCAGCGCGTGCATCAGATAGGAGCTGGAGAACGTGATTGTCTGGTCGAAACTGTCAGCCACTTGATTTGAGTGACGCTCGACATGTTCTTACCTACTGATGGTTAGTCGACCAGTGTTGCATGAGTAATGTAAGGATCCTTTGAAAGCAATCTGAAATCTGCCTTTATTCTGAAGTTGAAGAGCAGATGAAGTTCTGACGAACAAATTTCATTTCAAGTGCAAGGCAAATGCCGGGTTGTGGGAACCAGTGCCCTCCAATAACTTGAGTGTCAGATTTCTTCTCTTGGCATGACCTTGCAAACTAGGTGACCAAGAATTAATCAGGTAGGGTGAGGATGCACAGACCGTTTCAGCTTCGCTAATCATGACCATTTCCATGGCGCGTTGCAAGTCATCTCAATGTCCAAAGACCTTGAGCTGCAAATTTCCACACTTCGCAAATCCCGATGGGTCAACCTCTCTGGGCTCGTTGATTGTGCCACGAAACGTCTTTCGAAACCTACCTGCCAATCCATCCAACTTCTCGGAAGGGGCAGCTACAATACCGTCTACAAACTAGTCTTCGCCGATGACACCGAGATCGCCGCTAGCGTGTCAGCGCATGATGACGAGGACTTTAATCCCCAGGCCAAGATGTCCGAGATAGCAACCATGCAGTTTGTTCGTGCGTCCGGCTTGTATCCAGGTATCCTGGTTCCACAAGTCCACGCTTGGGACATTACATTTTCTAATCCAGCTGGTGCGCCGTATGTTTTCATGGACGTCATCCACGGACGAAAGCTCGACAGCCTCACCAACGATGACAATAAACTTTGCGGTCTGGATGGTATGTCAGATGTGCAGCAACTGGCCGTCACCAAAGCTCTGGCAAAGTTACAATCTACTTTGTCAGTACCCGTACCGTTTGGTACGATCGGCAGCATTACCCTTAATGATGAAGGAGGTTTTATCATAGGACCACTCTTCACTATCACACAGAATAACCTTGGGGGACCATATCAATCCCTCACGGATCTCTGGAAGGCCCGGCTGGAGCATGAGATCTTGCATGCTCTGAGAGAATGGTCCAGGCTTGAGACGGAGCAGCTTTCTCAATCCCTCTCAGAGCCTAAATGCACCCCTCGAAAATTTTCAGAGCTATTCCAACTTCTCTCCTCGCTTATACCTCATTTCGTCCCTCCATCGTCTTACCTCCCCTTGGTTTTATACCATCCCGACCTCGCACTCCGCAACATATTTTTTGATCCAATTGACGACACGAAGATCGTGGGGCTCATAGACTGGGGAGGCGCGCAGATTCTCCCTCTTATGCTCACCGCCAAGTTTCCAGACGACTTGAATTCGATCGGAGAGGATCCCTGTGAGAGACCAGGGATACCCGATGAAGGTTGGAACGCTGTCCCGCATGACTGGACTTCGTTCGGTGACACTTCCAAGTGGCCGAATGTCTTCCGGGGCCCAAACGATCAAGTAGATCTGACCATTCGAGCAAGCGCCATGATCAAGCGCTATTACCTCCGCCAGCACTTTGGTGTATGTTTCGCGCAGGAGAACCATGACAGATGTGGTGACAATAATCTTGGTCGCGCGATGTTATTCGCGCATGCACCGTATTATCTCAAGTTCCATGAAATCATCACGGGCGGCTGGACTTCTTTGGTCGATCATGCCGAGTGGATACGTGAGACATACTGGCGATTAAATGCGATAAAACAGGACGGTCGGAGCGCTGCATTGATTGTTGGTCCAAACGTCTACCGCAGCTCCATGGAGAAGCCAGTGTTTGACTTGAATATCTTCGAGGAGCAGTTCTCCGAAGATGTCCAAGATGGGGAACAGGAAAAGGACATGAATGTAGATAGTACGTGACAAGACTCTGTACAGCACGAAAATATCATACACCCTAACTGATCGATTCGGTCTTAGCATTCGTCATATCGCGTTATTGCTTCACCACCCTTGTTCTATTAAATTTAGCTGCGACATTTGCGATGAAGTTGGGGTACCCTACCTAGACCTTGATAGCTTTGATCATCTCGTCGATGATAGTCTTGGCGCTCTCATTCCAAGTAGACGACTCATATGTCACATACGCCTCTGTCCTCCCCTTCCGCGCAACGATTGTGATGTACGTTGGCGGTTTTCCACTCGTACACATCGACTTCGTTTGGAACGTGATGTCCGTTTTGGACTGTGACTTTCCGTCACCGTGCCAAGAGGTGTACTTCCCCATTCCATACGCTTTTTCAACATTATCCGGCTCTATGTTTTCCAAATACTGTTTCACTTGCTTGAGATCTTTCTTGGATACACTTTCCTGTAGGTGTCTGGGAAGTTAACGAGGGAGGGGGAGATGCGTTGGTATGGGAATACCTACGTTGACGTGGGCGGGCATGATGTTGGACGGTTCTTAGCGGCATCTCTGGCGATCTGAAGACGTACTTATATAGGCCGGGTTGCCAGGTGGGTTGCGCCCATGAGAATGGGACAGTGCCTTACACTGGTCACCAGCCCATCTAGCCTTCTGACGGTACCTTCCACGTAGCATGAACGGTGCTGAAACCGAAATAGGTCCATAATATGTACTGCCATTCTAGTACAGGCTATAATGTCATCATAGTATATTTACTCTCATTGCAATAAAAGCATGATATAGGAATTCCTGCCTTTCATCTCAAAGGGGAGGAAGGACATTAATGCGTGTTGCACATTTAATAGGTGGGCTGTTGAGTACTAGCAGACCCTGTGTTATAATTAGGCATATATATATTCTGTCAGATATGCGAGCTTCCGACTTTTGCACTGAGGGTAGTAGAGAAGCTTCTTGAAAAGCTACGTATCGAGCAAGGGTATGGACCTCAATGATGGTTCCATTATTCCGCATTCGTATGCATATCCTGTCGTACTAAACGGCGCTCTGCCGCAATAGACTGTCCCCGACACCTACTTATGATAGACAATTTATTAGTTTGATCAAAGTTTCATGATTTGTACCTCTGCATACAGTCTCTGCGCACTCTACAGGTAAAAACGGAACAGAAGGCACCAGACCCTTATAGTACATATCTAACATCGTGTTCGCTGTTCAGCATCTTACGGGATCACCAATCATCGCGGGCGCACGGTGAATCGGCTCGGCCTCGTTCTTCGGCCAGCCGAATCGGACATGCTCACTACAACAAGAAGTAGCTTGAAAGTTCTGTGTGTTTCAGCACTGCCAGAGACAGAAATTTTCAGAGGTGGGAAAGACAGAAGCACGATACCAGGAGTGGTAGAGAGGTTCATAATATAAGCAGTTATGGTTCAATGAGATGACAGAGCTTATGCGGCAGGCAAGATTACACGAGATCCTCAAGGACATTTGGAAAAAAAGTGGACATAGGCTGTCTGAATATAGAACAATCAGCAACAGCAGAAGCACGGCAGACTGACAACTGCAGCCTACCATCAGAGAAGTATCAGAAGACCGCGCATAAGGAGAGTTCAACGCCAGTGAGCGCAGCAGAAACACTGTGGACCCCTGGGTCCCTGTCGTTTAGGTGCCTACTGACCTAAGCGGTTTAGCGTACAGCTTGGACAAATTCATCGCCAAAACCCACTCCCACTAAAGTGAGTGTCGGGGATCCGCCTTGGTATACTGCCCCTCACCCTTTTCCGACCACGGTTTCGCGGTATCCTGGTCTGTGATGTTCCCCGTTTGATAATTGCAAGATCCTCGTTGAGCATTAAGAACGGAAGGAGAAGCTCGTACCTAGTTGGGATTGGGGCATGCATAAACCATCACCCCAACCACAATTAAGTAGTGCTGCCCATTTCAATGGTGTGATACCAAGTCTGCCACGAGTCGTGCGGCGAACTCGCGCGTTCGAAACGTAAAAGAATAGGTCGAGAGTGATGAGTGGGTGAATTGGGGTTGGGGCATACATGGTGCATCAGCTTCTGCACCAGCCTCAACTAGGCAGCGCTGCTCATTTCAATGGTGAAAGTTCTGCCACGTCACAGTAGCAAGAACTTAGCAAGTTCGGGAGGGAAGGGGGTAGATCGAGAGTGAGAAGTTAGTGACTCGGTGGCTGCTGGAACGAAAGGTACAGACCTGCTTTAATATGTAGAGGGACAAGTCACACTGAAGAAAGGTGAAGAAAGGGAGTGGCTCAATGCCGCGGCGGTACAAAGGGAGTCCATCGTCAGAGGAGTATCAATTCTACTCCTCAAAAAGGTCTTGAGCCGAAACAAAGCGCCCAGAAAATGATGAGTAGCTCCAAAAAGAAGCGAAGAAACAATGGAACGGCTAAGACGTGTACTATAGACGACAGTCTGAATCCTCGGAGGGCTAGGTCAATAAATGTGAGAATGTTGCATGGACGAGCCTTGAAGAAATCCAGCAGCATTTTCGCATTTTCCGCCCCGCAGCATCGCACCTGACTGCAGACAGGTAGACGACACAAGATCCATCTCAGTGATGGATGGGGACAAGTAAGAGTAGCAAGTATAAGCGACAACTGGCAAACCGGCCGTGGTTGAATAACTAATAACAATATTAATGTTGTGCAGACCCCAGCGCATGAAGAAACCCACCTACAACTTGAAACAAGACATATCATTAGACCTAACAGCACGGCGGCTGACAACGCAGCCAAGGCTGACGACCCCCAGGCCAACGAGAGAATCCTTGTGAGAGGCCGAGGATCCCCGATGAGGGTTGGAACACTGCCCCGCATGACTGGACTTACGTTCGGTAACACTTCCAAGTGGCCGAATGTCTTCCGGGGCCCAAACGATCAAGTAGATCTGACCATTCGAGCGAATGCCATGATCAAGCAGTATTACCTCCACCAGCACTTTGCTGTATATTTTGTGCAGGAGAACCATGACAGACATGGTGACTGTAATCTTGGTCACGCGATGTTATCCGCGCATGCACCGTATTACCTCGAGTTCCATGAGATCATCACGGGCGGCTGGACTTCTTTGGTCGATCATGCCGAGTGGATACGTGAGACATATTGGCGATTAAATGCGGTAAAGCAGGACGGTCGGAGCGCTGCGTTGATTGTTGGTCCAAACGTCTACCGCAGCTCCATGGAGAAGCCAGTGTTTGACTTGAACATCTTTGAGAAGCAGTTCTCCGAAGATGTCCAAGATGGGGAACAGGAAAAGGACATGAATATAGATGGTACATGGCAAGACTCTGTACAGCACAAAAATATCATACACCTGAACTGATCGATTCGGTCTTAGCATTCGTCATATCGCGTTATTGCTGCACCACCCTTGTTCTATTAAATTTAGCTGCGACATTTGCGATGAAGTTGGGGTACCCTACCTAGACCTTGATAGCTTTGATCATCTCGTCAATGATAGTCTTGGCACTCTCATTCCAAGTAGACGACTCATATGTCATATACGCCTCTGACCTCCCCTTCTGCGCGACGATTGTGATATACGTTGGAGGCTTTCCACTCTTACATATCGACTTTGTCTGGAACGTGATATTCGTTTGGACTGTGACTTTCCGTCACCGTGCCAAGGGGTGTACCTCCCCTGTCCATACGCTTTTCCAACATTCTCCAGGTTGTTTCATACTGTTTTACCTGCTTGAGATCCTTCTTGGATGCACGTTCCTGTAGGTGTCTGGTAAGTTAACGAGGCGGAAGATGCTTTGATTCGGGAAAACCTACCGTGACTTCGACGTGGGCAGACCTCTTCGCCGTGCCACTTGGACCATCCTGGGAGGTCTGCGCTGTCACGATCACGGTCGGTCGGTCCTCTGCTGTGGATGGTAACGTGAAGGTACCACCCATGGACATAACCGGCAAGGAGAAACTTGGGCGGTAGTCACCGAGGTTTGGCTGCATGAGGGGAAGCGGTAATGGGGGGATAGGATCTGCGTCTGGCACTAGATCGCGAAAGTCTTGTTGGATCTCAGGACGACCCATACCACGATACAATGGCATTGGGGGGTAGGGAAGTCTACGAGCTTCACGAGAGAGGTCGTCACTGCGGATATCGAACTGGGATGGGTCATGGTCGCGGTGTAGATTGGGGAAGACGTCGGAGTTGAGGCCTCTGAGGTCCTCCGAGTCATGATTGCCGGAGAGCACTTCACCATCGTTAGCGATAGGCTGCATCATGTAAGCAATCAGGCAGACAGTCACGATTCATATGGTCAAGTCATTCAACGTGAGCTGAGATTTCTGCAATAGGAAACAGTTGATCTACGAGACGGTAGCATTAATTTAATGCGGAACGACTGCGGCCTGTGAGATTGTTGCATGGACGGTTTTTGAATAAATCCAGCAGCATTTTCGCATTTTCCGTCCCGCACCATCGCAGCTAACTGCAGACGAGTAGACGATACCAGATCCATCTCATTAATGGATGTAGACAAGTAAGAGAAGCAAGTATAAGTGACAACTGGCAAACAGGGTGGTTGAATAACAAACAACAATGTTGTGCAGACCAGGAAACCCACCTACAAACAAGGATCGCTAGACCTAACGGCATGGCGGCTGACAAGGCAGCCGACCTCCAAACCAACTTGAACTCATTGACTGTGAAGAGACCGTTGTACGAGGGAAGCACGCAATACAAGAGCTGGAGATATTCCCCAGAACAACTGGAGCAAGTTCGCACTTCCCTCAATGCTGCTGCAGTAGCGGTCATACGGGATACTTTTGAGGCAGATGAGGTGCGAAACCCACTTTCTGTCGTTTTAATGCCTGCCCAATTAATTCGTTATAGCCTGGATCGTCCGAGGACGTGTTGTTCCTCAATGCAAATGAAGAGCAACTCCTCGTGAAACTCTACATCACCAAGGTCCCTCAGCTATGTGGGCATTTTCGTTTCCCTGAGGAAGTGGAGGCGACCGCTATCAGTTACTTGAAGCGGTTCTATCTTAAAAACACTGTGATGGACTGGCATCCAAAGAATGTGATGTACGTTCGCGTGTTACACTAGTGGTCTCCCTAATGACTTGATGTTCTTTGAAGGCTCACCGCACTATTTCTTGCCACAAAGACCACCAATAACCCAATTTCATTGGAGTCTTACACTTCTAACATCCCGAAAACGTCCAGCTCAGACGTTCTTGACCTCGAGTTCTTGGTGTCTCAGAGCTTGAATTTCGAGTTTGCAGTTTGGCATGCCCACCGGGCTCTCTGGGGCATTTGGCTCGACCTTCAGGTAACCATGATGTCTGACATCATTTCCGCGCTAAGACTCACGCAATTACAGAGTCTGCCCGACGTACCCGAGGACCTCCGACCACAGGATATCTATGACATCGCCATCAAACACGTCCGGGCTTCCCGCTTTACTGACGCAGAACTCATCTACACCCCCTCTCAAATTGCCCTCGCTAGCCTGACTCTCGCCTCGCCAGTTCTCGCAGAAAAATGGGCTGACTTGAAAGCGGTAGCTGGTGCTGCGCAACCTCTTTCCGCAACCCTTGACCCTACTCTCGAATTGATCAAATATATCATCATGCAGATGGGACATCCTCCTGATGTGGAGGCCGTTCGCGAGGTTGATAGAAGATTGAAGTTATGCAAGAATCCAGAGAAGGTTCCTGGTAGCAAGGCATATATTGCACGGCAAGCAGCTGAACACCGACGAGCGGAAGAGAAACGCAATAAAAAAGCGGAAGACGTTAGGAGAGCCGGCACCGATGGTGGAAATCCATTCGGGAGCGAACTTAATGAAGATGAAAAGGCAAAGCAGCTGGCTGAGCTCGATGACGACGATGATTAGGATAGGACTATGCAGGACACCTCAACGACTATATGATTTTTATATTACGATGTGACCCTCGAGTAAATTAATACAAGCGTCATCTCAGATAACATATGAATCCGAGAATGCAGAGAGGGATGTAACGATCACTGTTGGCTACACATTGACCCCCTCAGATCATGACCTCGGAAGGCTAACTGGGAGGCTTCGAAAGAGCCGATACCAATATGTGCGGAATAACTACGTTCCCTGTGCTGTTGACAGATTTGGCATGGAGGCAGACGAAGATCTGCATGAGTGAAAAAGTGAGCTTTAGTGAGGACATTGACCTAAAGCAAGGACCGTGAATAAATGTTTCCATCGCATTCATGGTTATCGATCATCAAGGGATGCAAATCGACGATGGAGGTTATCACAACGAAAGCGAAAATGGCCCGAGACTCGAAAAAGCTGTGTGCAGTCCGACCATCTCGCAGACTTGTGCCGGATGTCTGATAGTGAATACACGGATATCTTCTTGCATGTAACGCTACAGATAGAGCAACCACCGTTCAAAAACCTGGAAAGTATTGAGACTAGAAAAATAAATAAAACGAGCAAATACATACAACATTCGCAATCGAAAGGACACAGTGATGTGTCTGGGGCCGGGTGAATGTTGAATGTTAATGGGAGTAAGTGCGCGACATACCTCCTCCGGTATTGGATATACCTAGCTCATCTTCCTTGTATATGTTGAAGCCATCATCAGTTTTTCGTCCTGGCACGGCGTTAACGAATTTGAGATAGCAGGACAAGATGAAACTTACTAGGTGCAGAACCCCTCGAATCCTTGAAACGGTCTTCGTCCTCTTTGTGCATCTCGTGATGAACCTTTTCACGCTGTGAAGCAACTGAGGCATCCAACTTTGGACGTTTACTACTGCTGGAAGATTTGAATGACGGATCTACAATAGTCTCGGGAGGTGGTCGTTTTTTCAGTGTTTTTGATTCTGAAGATCGACTGATCTCCTTTGTTTTATCGCTGGTGGGAGGTCTGTCTTTTCTTTTCTTTCTTTTCTCCTTCTTGACGGATGGAAGGGGAGTAAGTTCCACGGCTTTCGCCTTTCCTTTGGCAGCAAAAATGACATCTATTTCTGATGTAGGCATGGAAGAGGATCAAGGTAGAATCGATGGGGAAAAAATCAGAACTATTAAAATATTGTCACACATCACAAACGTCACAGATCATATTTATCCGAATGCTTCCGAGTTGATCAACACGTTTTTGTTTTCTGGTGGATGGCCGATGATCATGCGACCATGAGCGAGAGCGTTAGGTAGTTGAGGGATTAAAAATTGAATGAGTGAGCCATATGAAAGACGATTTTACTGCAGTCACACCCAAGTCATGACTAATAGCTGTGTCGACTTGAATTTCCTGATTTGTTGAGTGCTTTCGTTCGACCGCCAACGAGTATTAGTTCAAGCAGGTGAAAGTCCGTCTGTGCCATACTCAAATAAACTCCTGAACTATGTTGTAAGTTTTCCATTTCCTTTTCCCACTCTAAATCATCATTCCCGTTCTGCTAACAGGCCCCAGTCTGCACAGCAAATCAGACCTCAGCAGACCCATCAATCTCAACAACAACAAGGAAATGTCTCATTCATCCCCCAGAATTCACCTCAAAACTTTGAGACAGCCCAGTACTTCACTAGTACTCTTGATCTCAATGCTGCTGCAAAGCAAATGGCAGCCATGAGTGCTGCAGGAGTCCAAAGACAAATGGCAAACGTCAACGGCCGCTCGTCTGCGTCTGTTAGCGGAGTATCTCCGGGATCATATCTCGGCGGAATGTCATCCTCTTATAACCAACCAAGCGGCTTTACTGGGCCACCTCACGATACTACAAATTCGATGCAATTCAATCCCACAGCTTCGTCAGGTCAATCAAATCCCCAAGGTATCTACCCTGCCCAACAGACCACCAATGCCCCCCCAAATCCTTCTCTAAACGCACCCATGTCTCATCCAAACTTCACCGCATCTGATGTTGCCAAGCACCGACAGCGAACTTTCCTTACAGGATTGGCCAGCGCCCATGCTTCTCGCGTTCCCTTGCCGCCGGCTTTAACTGGAACCCCATACCCACCCGGTTATGACCCTACAAATTCGCAATGGAAGTATTTGGATTGCCCACCAGGTCAGCCGGGTGTCATCCGCTTGGGCGGCAAGGACATTGATCTCCTGAGGTTATGGCAAATTGCAACTCAATTGGGAGGATGGCAAAATGTTTGTTCATTCGTACTCTATCAGTTTCGCATACTGAAACATGGCATCGTAGATCACACAACAACAGAATGGCTGGGCACAGGTCGCTCACCAGTTCGACCTGCCAGAGTACCTTCCTCATCTATCGAATCCTGGGCAGCAGCGCCCCGTTGGTCAAATTCTGGGACATTTATACGCCGCCATCTTAAAGCCATTCGACGAGTTTTATCGTCGTAACATGCAGGAGGGCAACCGTAGGGCAATGGCAGCTGGACGCCAACCAGGCCTTAATACGGGACCTCCCAACGTGAATGCGGGGCCTGGTGCACCTCATGTAGGATTACAGCCAGCCCTTAATACGGGACCCCCCAACGTGAATGCAGGGCCTGGTGCACCTCATGTCGGATTACAGCCAGGAACAATTGGCCCAAATGCAATCGGCGGCATGATGGCACAGCACACAGTTAACAATCAAAACTCCACTATCAGCCCTGCCTCTCAGTCACAGCCACTACCACAAAGTCCTCATTTACGCCAATCTTCTGCGCCTAATTTTCAATCCCCCGCCATTCCCTCAGATTCCACGCCTCAGGCTTCATCGCAGCTCAACACTTCAATTTCTGCACCCCAGCTTATGAAACCAACACCGGATACATCTGAACTAGAAACCCAAGGGACGAAGAGAAGACTAGAGTCCGAAGAGGCAGAAGGGAAACGAGCAAGGCAAAAGACAGGTATTTCTCAAGATATCATTCTTGTTACTCAGTGAATCTTATCCGAGCTGCTATAGATCCGCCAGATACTGTGAGTGAAGACTGGTGAATCTTCAAGCCCTCGAATTGATTTTTTCCACAGACCGAGACTACTAATACCACAACACCACAAGGATCCGTCCCGGGAGCTCCCCCCTCGCGCACACAATTTACGAGGACAAAAGTCGAGTACATTCCCCTGTCACGCGAAATTGATTTCACTGGCGGCCGTGATTTCAATGCGCTGGAAGAGGATTATCTTCGGTCTCAGCGGCGGCCCATGCGTGATATCAATGAGTGGGGAACGGTTGACATTGAAGCCCTTACAATGTCCATCCGATCGCGATTGAATGCCGAGCTTTCCTACGCTTTAACGACAATCACGTTGTTGTCTACGATGCGGGGTCCAACCCCTGGGTCTGGATTTCCCATTTCACAATGCACAGATTTGCTCGAGGAGGTGCTCGACCTACTTGAGGAGGAAGCATTTGGGTCCACCCCCGACATCACGGATTATCGGCTGGGCAATGGTGCTGAGATGGTGCGACATCGGGCGCTTGTGGATGATGTTTTCGAGAAGGAGTCCATGCTCTTTGCAGGGTTAGAAATCCGTGACCCTCAGTATGAGACACGTGGTCCAGGGCACCGTGCAGGCAATATTGTGCTCGCTGTGACTAACCTCATACGAAACCTCTCCGTCACCCCAGACAATATGCCCTGTCTGGCCAGACATGAACGCACACTCGATCTTGTGCTGCGTGTTTGTGGTATCACCGTGTCATCAGACGGAATACCCAGACCAACTTCACCGGCACTCGCTCTCTCAGATGTGATCAATGTTCGAAAAGATGCGCTTCACATTTTTGGTAATCTATCGAATTATATCGTGTTCCTGAATCCTAATTCTCCGTCGAACACAACGACTCTCACTGCGAGCCGCATCCTCGAAATCATCGCGTCTATCCTCATAGAGCCCTTCGACTCAGTTCCCCCTACACAATTTCTCAAACAAAGTGGGGTTCCTTTCCCGCACAGCAGACCATCATCTATTGCCGACCTTGCCCTCGACGTTTTCACCCGCCTCGGTCAGCTGGACTCTAATCGGCAGGTTTTCTCTAGGGTCATGCCCCAATCTCTCATTTGGCGATTATTGGAGTCTCTCGTTCATCGTCTACCAGTAACAGACCTCGACTTTGCTTTCCTCGGCCGGGACCCATGGCTATCTTACTTGGAAAAGTCAATCATGGCGATCTATACGATCGCATTCTTTTCTCCCCCAGAATTAAAGAAAAAGATCAAAACGGATCGCCCTCTGTGTTTCTCACAAGTTATGATTCGTATAGTGCAACGATTCGTATCAATGGGTGGGAGCCAAGAGGTGCGCCAGTGGCACCTTGCCGTTGCTCGCAGAGCGGTAGAAGCCATGAAAGTGGTAGATGAAGAGGACGATGCTTTTGACACCTCGCAGTCCACTCAAACTACGCTGGCATTTGGCATGGGCTTTATTGATGGTAATGATTCCGGTATTGAAAAGGGTATAGGGTTGCTTGCTAGCCGCCGGGACGCTGCTTGGGAATTGTTGATGCGAGATCTGGATCCTGTGATGTTTTCGGAGCTGGAGAGTTTGATGAGAGTTGAATGTTAGTCTTTTGCTAGCTTTGCGGGACGGTACTGTTGGTTGTAACGTCTTGTATACTAACTCCAGCGTTCTGTACATTTTGCTGTCGATACTATTGTTATGTAACTCTGGATATCCATGTCAACTGTCGAATTTGTTGTACAATCCTTCCAGACATTTGATCTGTCTCTGACTCCCAACGTTATCAGTGGAGGGCTCTGTCGATTTCCCATCTCCAAAAACCTCTGCCCGGCGGCTACACTCATGTTCAGGCCTTTTCAGTACCATCATTTGACACCTTATTTGTTAGAGGCTCATCAAGCTGTCATTCAGTTCTCACTGAGCCCCTTTTTCCATTATGCATGCCACCTCGGCGGGCCACTCCTGCACGGTGTCTTGAGCTTTCCGTTATGGGGTATTCTAGAGTTTCACGTTGACCTCTCTGTTGGCATCTCAACTCTGTCTGGTGCCCGGGTCTTGCTGCGGTTATCGAAAATGAATTTTTATTCCTCCTCGACATAGACATAAAACAGGAGTGCACACAAACTACACACATCACAATGATTACTTATCATGACTGTTTGCCATTTTCAATTCTTCCAGCCTCGCTGAAGCCGCATCGATGGACATTCCTTCGGTCGTTGGCTCCTCCAATGCAACCGAGGGTGGCTGGAAAGCTAAAGGTGTGGAGGTTACACCATTTTTCCGACTGTCAGACTCTCTCTGTCCTTAGCTTGCATAAGTTCTTCTGGCCTCCAACCCCATTAATGACATTGCCAATTTTCGTTTGGTGGTGAATCCTGACGGTTTTTGTCAGTTCGCCGAGAATTTAGGTTGGCACGAACGCACCTCGGTGATGTATCTTATGTTTCTGAGACGACTCTGGCGAGGCGGCACGGTGAATCCCTTTCGATGGACAGACTATCACATAAAAAGGAGATTTCGGCGCAATGAGTGGGTCTAAGATGGACCTCTGAGGATCTATACACCGCAAAAATGCTGTCAGCAGGTTTCGAACCAACTCCGAGAGGAACAGATTTTGACTCTGTTGTAGTAACCACTTTGGCCAGGACAATGTTGAGATGAACCTTTGAGGGACTGTCCATGAGTGAATCTTCAAGGCATGTTCCAATAGAAAAAGCCTTGTCATCGGCAGGTTACGAGCCTGCACAGTGCAAGAGAAACAGATTTCGATTCTGCTGTGGTGACCACTCGGCTAAGATGAGTTATCATGAGCCTCGCCAGTTGGCATGAGCTAATGTTATGAAGGTATGTTTTGATAGAAAAAAAACCTTTAGTAAGGAGGTTTCAAACCTGCACATTGCAAGAGCAACAGATTTTGATTCTGTTGTGGTAATCAAGTTGGCTAAGACCGGTTGAGATGAGCCTCGGACAAACTATCCATGAGTGAATGTCAAGGTATGTTCCGATCGAAAAAAACCTTGTCGTCAACGGGTTTTGAACCTGCGCAGTCCAAGAGAAACAGATTTCAATTCTGTTGTGGTAAGTAACCACTTCAAAATGGCCAGAGAAGAATTTGTCCATGAGCGAATGTCAAGGTGTGATAAAATTCATTGGCGGGTTTCGAATCTGTTGACTTCTCAAGTGAAATCTTTAAGGGACCACCCATGAATGAATATTCAAGACGTGGTAAAAAGAAATTAAAAGAGCTTGTTGAGCAGGAGGCTGACAGGCTGACACGCTTACCATTTGGCTTGGCTTGGCTGGTCAAGATGGACATCTACGAGTCGAAGAACATCATGCATTGATAGTGAAATCACGTAGGATCAGTATACGTAGTCGTTTGCCAACGCAAAATGAAATCAACTAGTTTGCGTTTGAACACGATACATGCAGGAAGTAAGCGAGTCGGGGTTGGCGCTGTTACGATACAATTATTTTTGAACTTTCTGACTTATCTTGTTTGGGCTGTGCAACCTTGTCCGAGTAATTCACGCATTAGGCTCTAGTAGCTAGCAGCTTGGTAGAATCTCACATCGTCTCTCACTATCACTCTAGATCTCAGAAGAATAGAGAGAGGGCAATTGGCCTCACATTACATGGCGTCCTACACGGCGCCTCCGCCAAATTACTCTCCAGTATGCCCACAGGATCTACCTGGGGCGCTGGACGAGCCGATCTCTGGCCTTCAGATCTTCATCATCCCGGCAGCAGACACGTTTGCCTTCCAAAAAGGTTACCTAGGAGCCGAAGGAGAGCGCGCCGCTATTGAGGGAGAAATCCATGTCAAGGGTGCACAGCCAGGCCAATGGAAATATGTGTTAGTGTGGCTGTTTCTCATCTATCCCGAGGAACTCACCACGGTACAACAGCACCGTGGCTCTTCATGTCGTCGAGTCTGCGTTTGGCCAGGAAATCGAGCTAGGAAAATCAGAGATAAACCTAGTCTCGTTCACGGGGACGTCCGACTCGATGTCATCTTCAACGTCATTCGCAATACCCCTGACATCTGATGCACCCCAGTGTATTCATACACCTCATTCATCGCTGGAATACGCACTTACGGCAACTTTTCATCCTACGAATTCGTCGGAGCCACTTGTATCAAGAAGGATTATCGTGCATACGCGACGTTACACTTCGCATTCTCATGCTGTAGATACACTGCCGGAAACCCACGTCCTAGAAAATCCTTCCCGTGTCGAGGTTCAAGTTCCTCGCACAATATTCCGGGCTGGAGAATCCATCCCAGTCTATGTTACTGTGCCTCCGCCAAGTAGGGAACTTATGCTGCGCGAAGGACTCAGGCTTCGAAACGTAAAAACCGAGATTGTTCGCATCGTGAGTCTGAAAGGGCAAGATGATGGTGATATCCAACTCGGTACGCCCTATGGCCAATCCATAACGGACTTGTTACCTCAGGATGGGCCTTCATCGGTGGCACCCACTCCCCCTGCGGAGAAGCCTCCGATCACTTCTCCTGGATCGGTCCTATAGTACAGTGACTTCTCGCTCAGGTGCATCCTGCAGATTTCACTCCTCTCGACCTGTGCGGCTCCGTCTCATCTTGCATCAGGCTTCACCATCTGCGTCACCAGTAGATTACCAGACGAGTTTGCCAGAAGGTGACTACAACAGCCTTGACAATGATTTGCAATGCATCTCCATCACGCAATCTACTCTCCTACACTCAGTCTCTTTCCTTCTAAATGTCCACATTTCATTCGTGGAAACGACCAGTAGGACCGAACGGCTTATGACTATCCCCATTCCATTAACTATCATCCCACCCCCAGCGCCACTGCCTGAAGTTGAAGAATGGGTTGACGCTGCGTATCAGAAAAAACACGACCGTCCCCCTTTGAGGACAGTTCGACAAGAAGATCCAGAGTCATCGATTCCCTTGTATCAAGAAGGAGAAGCGGGTCCAAGTTATTCTCAGAACGGTGCCCCTCCCCCTTTTGAAGACCGCGACATACCACCTCCACCATTCTTCCATTCTACGCCTTCTACGTCCAATGCTCCGCCAAGCTTCCAGGAATCCGAGTCTGAAATATTTATTCCTTCGGACACAACGGACCAGGAGGTGCCTGCAACTATAGCACTCCGTATCATCGGCGAGGGAATCCTGTTTGGGTTTGCTGCATCGGAGCAGTTTGATGGTCATTCGGATACGATGCACCGCTCGTCAACTCCGCCCCCTTCGGTGGAGATGGCAGAGCGAGATGCAGATGTGACGGGATTTGCGAATTTAGGAGTTGAACCCGTCCGAGTTTTTGAGGCTCTGAATATTGTCTCGGATGATTGCACCCCTCGCTCTGGAGGTGAACTCCCTCCTCCGCCACCTGCGATGGATGATCCGTCAGACCCACCTCCTTCAATAGATTCTGACTTCAGGTCGCCCTCGGTCCGGGTCCCCGTACAATCTCACTCACCCCCCCTCGCCCATCAGTCATACAATCAAACTCCTGCGACTCATGATTCTCTACACCCTCCCAATGACATCTTAGATCATTCTTCCTCACATGGACATGCGCCACCGCCTTATCTTGTTCCTGGCAGTGATCCTGACCAGGAAGAACATGTGACACGACCACCTCCGTATATGGATTTGGTCCCCTCTTCATCGTATTTGAATAGCTCACTTCACTGAAGGGACTTTAAATTTGTTACCATTCCAACTTGTGCATCTCTTAGAACCTACTGTTACCTCAAATGTGCTCTGCTGCAACTGTATTTATAAGTTAGCTTCGAACCGTACCAAGTCCAATGTTTGTGTTGCAGATGGATTAAAAAAGCAGATTACATATGAAGACCAAGGCAACGGTAGCCGCGTAGATGGCAAAGAGAGAGGAATAATAGGTGTGCAAATAGAAACGAGACGGTCGCGAAGGTTGAAGGTGTGCAGTCCAAATAATCCATAGTGACACGCTCAGCAGTTGCATCCGTCTTTCTTGGACTGTTGCTCCTCGAGGTTCACTTCTTCTCTGGCCCCACCGGCTCGCCCGCCCGCACCACCAGATCGACCTGCACCACCTCGTGTGGAAGCCAGAATGTGCTCGATCGGTATTTTCTTCGCTGAATTTGATCTTAAGCAGGAGTTCCACGTTAGCGCAATTAGCGTACCTATTTCTGTAAATATCTCGACAATACCCTCGCCAGTCTTAGCACTGGTTTCAAAGAACAACAAGCCAGCCTCAGTAGCGTAAGCCTGAGCCTCCTCACGTGGCACCTGTCGCAAACTCTCTGGCTCGCTACCACTAGCGCTAGGACTCTCCCCAGGCGTGGCTGTAGCATCATCCGCCTCATCTTCAGACTCGGATGACGGAGTGGACCCAGATAACATAGCAGATGTTTGTACGAGATCAATTTTGTTGCCAGCCAGTGCGATAACGATGTTGGGATTTGCCTGTCTTTGAAGTTCCTTTACCCATGACTTCGCCTTCTCTAAACTCGTTGCTTTCGTCACGTCGTATACGACCACTGCGGCTTGAGCATTACGATAATACATGGGCTACATTCACGAATCAGAGCAGGTGGTAAAGCAGTGCTCGGGACCTACAGCGAGAGAGTGGAAACGTTCCTGGCCAGCAGTATCCCAAATCTCGTATCGCAGGACGCGGTCTTCGAGGCGGCATTTCTGAGTCAAGAATGCTGCACCAATGGTGGGCTCCTTGTTTGCTTGGAATTCGTTCGAGACCTGAAAAGCGGTTCAGAGGTAGCAATGTACGAAAATAGACACCTACAAAACGGAGGACTACCGAAGATTTGCCAACAGCGGCCTCACCTATAGATGTGAATCAGTTCTCATTCATTGGCAAGGAAGAGCGAGGGCGGAAGATATAAGAAGCCAGTTTGATAGCAAGTGTGAATAGCGTCGATGGTACTTTTAGTGCTAGCTGAGAAGACTTACCGAGAAGAACCAGCTTGACTTGGACAGACCTATCCACGGAGCCTGAAGCAGCATCAGCCATTATTATGATGTCGACGTTGTAAGGAAATATAGACACTGCAACTTGAAGGAAAGAAGCAACAACTCAGTACTGCTGCGTTTTCCGGCTTTGTTTACGTTTGTATTCAGATCTCACACTGTCAGCCTATGCATGCATAGGAACGTTCGACACTACATGTACCGTTCAACTATGTACCATAGCGAATGATCTCGAAGCACTTTGTCTGGCGTCAAGATTCATTTCTACTTTGGATAAGGGCGCATAACTGAACAAAGAGGTCAGCGCCTACATCTCATATTAACCTCAGCTGAGGTTATTTCGATTTCTGCTTCCTCGGTGCTGGAAAATGCCAGGGAAAGCATACAGGTTTCGCACTCAACGCAAGAGCGTCGTAGCATGAGCGTATTTTCTCGACGTGTCAAGCCCCGCCGGAAACTGGTCGCTTGTTGCTCTTCGAAGCCACAGCAGGCGAATGCTGGTTTAATCGAAATACCAAGAATAAGTTGATTTGGTAGATCTTATCCTTGCTTCACAGAAACTGCATACATTTGCCGTCAGGGTCATGCTGCAACATGTCTCTGACAAGGACATTGTGTATTCAATAGCCGTCGGTATTGTTGCCACCATTGCCATACGTGCTATCAGAAATCCAGCTTGAGCTGGTCTCCTATTTTTGCATTTGTCTGCAGCCAGATGATGATAATCAGCGTTATTACCGCTTCTCATGAAACGACGTACAATCGTAGCCTCGAGGTTAAAGCATCTGTGATGGTGGTGTGGTTTGGTGCGAGAGGCCTCAATTGACAAGACTTCGGTCCGCAATTACAAATTGTAAATTCGGCATACCTCATTAGGCTGCGCTCTGTCCTTGGATATTTGACCTGCGAGCGCCGTGAGCATCTGGCGAACAGCCACGAGTTGCGATACGAAGGAGCCATGATCGCTATCAAAATGGTCAGTTGATATCGTGACGGAAAGAAAGGACATACGTACCTGCCTTGGGCGAGATGCGGTTCTCCTTCCGAGGGTCCTTATTTACAGTCAGGTCCGTCTTTGAATATCCATAACACCGTATCATGAGCTTCGTCGTGTGCGATCTTCACCATGCCCTTGAAATGAAGGATCCCAGCAGGCCAAGAACGCAAGCAAAGCAACACTGAATTTGAAATTCGGAATCACCTCATATTGCAATTGAGAATGAATGCTATTGCATTGCGTTGTGAAGATTGTGTGGTGGCATTGATGCAGCATTTCGGATGGCTGGTATGATTTCCTGACGCCCTGCAGACCTGGGCACATGCCAGATCAGTATTCTAGTAGCTTCATAGCAACGATGGACGCTGACGAGAGTAATGCATCTATATGATTCTGCCAGTGCATATCAGTATTCAAGTCGATAATAATAAATATTTGAAAATCGCGTGAAGACTGAACTTAAATTTCTAATAAATAAATAAACTATTAGATCCCGCGGAAGCAAATCGTGTCCACTCCGAATCGCTCAACTATCCGCGCCGTTCAGCATTTGCGTGCGTTGTTCGCTTATCTCCGTGTCTCTGCTTCTCCTTTTGCAATCGTACTCCACCTTTTTCCAATGCGTGTCTTCTGGCTCGGAGCTCCACATGCGATCGCTTATTTCTCTCATTCATAACTACATATGGTCCTGTTCTTGGCAGTGCGATGGTCGGCGGGACATTTGCTTCCGCGGGATCAGTCGTTCCGTCCTTACATATGTTAGAATGACCTAAGGTCTTGTGGACGTTGCCCTTCAAGTTCTGACACGAGCTTGGTCGAATATAAGAGTCAAGAACCTTGAAATCAGGAATCCTGACAAACTCGTCTATGCACGCCGGCGCACTCGGTAAGTACTGCGAATAAGCATCGATGAAGCTAGTAACACACTAGACATGGATGCAGATTTCCGACCAACCCGGGAGAGCACACCCCCTCCGAATGTGAGCTACCAGCAATCGGTGCTCGGTCTTGCCCCCAATGTACATCCTCTTGTAAGCTGCAATACCTCAACAATATTCGTCGTCTCTTTACTCACTAGAAATCCCATAAGAACCCCTTCCCCTTCATTCTCCGCGCCGCAGCCGTATACCCAGACAAACTTGCCGTTGCTCATCCTGACGTGACACATCCCGCGTTCTATACCTATGCCGTTTGGTGAGGCCCTTGTGCTTCGTCGAGAACTAGTCTGACAGCGGCAATAGGGCTCAGCGCATTCAGAATATGGCATATGCTCTTATACAAGCAGGCATCCGCCCAGGTGACCGCGTTGCAGTTATAACGCCCAACTGGTGAGTTCTGCTGTATCACGCGCTTGACGCATCTCACACAGAAGCACGATAGTCCCTTGATTGCAGGTATAACCTCCATTTTATCACACCTGGCAATAATGAAACACCCCGGGTAGATGCTCACTTTGGCATTCTTGCTGCTCGCGCTATCGTCACACCTGTAAACACTCGTCTCACACCCCCTGAGGTCTCATACATTCTGGAACATAGTGGATCCAAACTTATCCTCATTGATCGCGACTTCACGCATCTCATTGAGAATATTAATATTCCTACGGTTGTTTGTCATGACACAGGCAGAGCAGGGGACCCATATGAAAGCTTCCTTAGTGCCGGCAGAGTATTCAGTGCAGAAAAGGGGTGGACTGGCTTGGAGGTTGAGCCGGACGAGAATGCCGGTGCAGTTTTATGCTACACGTGAGTCATGACTCCGTTATGCAGTTTGGCCAAGATGTAAACACATTTTTACAAGGTCGGGAACTACAGGTCGTGTAAGATTGCCTGTGTCTGCAGGTAAAAGCAGTTGCTCATTTTGCATAGCCAAAGGGCGTCCTCACCACGCTGCGCGGTATGCTCTGTCGACTTACTCAGCTGTCATTTGGCTGATGTTATCGTCCAACTAGGCTCTTACTTGGCAGCAATAGGGAATGTTGTTGAGGGACAGTGCGTGCCTCTGTCTTGCTGTATCCGTCTAACAGGCTCACCAGTGGGATTTGCAGGATAAGTCGTGAGTCGACGTACTTGTGGTAAGTTTTATGTGATTGCACGAACAGTCAAGAATCCGATGAACTGCAGGATTCTTCCAATGTTCCATGCAGCTGGTTGGACATACCCGTGGGCAAATGTCTTCGCATGCGCGACACAGGTGAGCAGAACACGATGTTATGTTCATAATCACGAACCATCTTATCTTCTTATTCAAGATAACTATGCGCTCTGTTGACTACCCGCTTATCTGGAAGCACTTCCTGAATTCCGGGGTAACTCACTATTGTGGTGCACCCACTGTCCAGGTTTGTGCGCCGCACAGGGACATGAATTAGTCTGATGTGTCGATAGATTGGAATTGTGAACGACCCCGCTGGTAGACCTCTCCCTCGTATTATATCCGCGGTTGTTGCAGGGGCCGCACCCACTGCTCACCTCATCAGCCAGCTCGAGCAAATGGGAATCAAGCCTGTGCATGTATACGGTTTGACGTAAGTCCAGCGTAGCGTTTAATTTGTGCCTAAGCTGGTTCGTTCTTCCATCATCGCCAGTGAGGTTCGTGCTTCAGCATTGATCAGGGAAGTGGCAAGCCTGAACATACTCCTTAAAGACGGGCGGACCCTTCACGCGCTGTTACGACCAACCTCACTGGAAGACGCTTACTTTGGAACAACGTGCGAAGCTGATGGCTCGACAAGGTCAAAGCTCTGTAATCGCACAAGATACACGCGTGGTATATCCTCCACAAGACGAAAACGACGAAGAATTCCGTGACGTTCCGAAAGACGGGCGCACGGTGGGTGAGGTTCTCATGCGCGGAAACATCATCATGAAGGAGGTACGTTTTTCAGCAGTTGTACCAAAGTTCTTGTATTCATTCTAGGCGTTTGTTGCATAGTATTTCCGCGACCCAGAAGCCACGCGTAAGGCTTTTCAGGGGCGCCACTTTCACTCAGGTGATCTAGCCGTCTGGCATCCCGACGGTGTCATTCAGGTCGTTGACCGAAGCAAAGACCTGATTATCTCTGGAGGCGAGGTGAATAATTATCCTTGCGGTGATTCAATACGCTAACCTGAAGACCGCAGAATGCATCAAGCTTGGCCATAGAACTAGGTATCTTTGCATTCGAATGGCTACCAAGTTGTAGACCCTGACCGAACCACGCAGAGCTTTCGAGTCACCCGCATGCCTTAGAGGTATCTGTCGTCGCCCGCTCGCACCCCAAATGGGGTGAGCGTCCCATGGCATTCGTCGTTCTTCGCCCGGAGCACGCCGCCAAGTGGAAAGACAATCATGGCGGCTTCGCTACTGAGCTGATCCGCCACGCTCGAACACTTTTACCCGGCTTTGCGTGCCCAGAATGGGTGCAAATAGTGGACGAATTACCCGTCGGTCATGCATAACATCCACACCCCGCTGGGCGCTTACAATACTTACATTACAGAAATCATCCACTGGGAAGATTCTCAAGACCGACCTTCGCAAAGCTGTTGCTAAACTGTGATCTTGGTAATCTAATACTGATATTGTGAGGATCGTTGATATGTATCGGTACATACTTATGTATGTTCGATTTGCCAAAGAAAAGGGTATGAGGAAGTGATAAAACATCAGCGGAGTGGGAAACATTATCTAGGCATGATAGGTTCAAAATGATCACGACAAATGGGTCGTCACGGTGTAGGGGGCAGAACTCCTCGGATTTAGTTCTGCCGGTTATAAGTGGTTGTTTTGCCAGGGTGACAAAACTCCAGCCACCTAGCTACTAGGCTATGCAGACTATATTCACGACACAAATGTTGCCTTGTCTCATCTGTCATCTTCACCATTGTAATTAACCACCTCAACCTCATCTAGAATAGCCTGTGGTATTATTTCTTGTTTGACCTGATCCAACTCATCAAAATCAAAAGTGTTTCCCTTGAGCACTTCAACTTCATTAATGGTCTGAACTTCTGCAGTCCTTTTCAACTCCTTGAGAGCTGCAAACTCAGCAGCAATATACTCTCTGGACCAGCAAGCAAGCCATCTGCATCACAAGGCTTGGTTGAGAGTGGTACTCCTCTCAGTGCCCTATTGAAACTACCCTGCTTTATCAGCTTAGGGAACACATCCCCTATTGTTGAATCTATTTTTAATGCCTGAAAATATAGCAGTGCATAACTTGTGTCATTAATAGACAGCTTACTTGATCATGTGACCAGTTCATCCACTTTGAAACCATACTTCTGTTGGAATCTGAGAGTTCTGAGATGAGGAAGACTGATGGATCTGACCAAGGCACGGACAATGAGTGAGAGGTACAAGCACAAGCTGAAAAGGGACAAAGGGTGAGTGACACAGTGACATTGGCTCACATCCTACTTTATTTTCTGTTTCATTTTAATACATTATTGTTGTCAATGTACTTACCTTAAAAATGCCAGTAGTAGCATCCTAGCATCTCAGTTCTTTCCAAGACACTGAGATGTGAGTAGGAATTTGTCACTTATACCATACAATGTCTAATGCAATGCAATGTACTTGTTTCATAGGTAGACAAACTCTTAACAGACTTCTTTCCAAGACACTGAGATTGTACTTGTTTCATAGATTTCTCATCCCTTCCACTCTTCTTATCACCACAACTTCTCCTTAGCCTTGGTCTCAAGCTTTCTCTTTTTATCTATTTCTTCTTCATCACTTGAACCATCTGAGTCAGGATCAAAATTTCTTAATCTTGACTTAGATTTCCTTTTTGGCTCTTGTGAATACTTTACTCATCATCTGAGTTGTCATCAAACCTTGCTTTATGCTTGCTAGATTTTGACTTGGATTTGGTAAGCTTCTTGGCTTTTGATTTGTGCCTGGACTTATAATCATCCTCATCCTCAGAATTACCATCTGAATCTGAACTGTAATCAGTCCTCTTCTGATACTGTAGTATTTCACTCAATTTGTCTGTCATGTGTCACAAGCCATTATGCTGGGATGAAATTTGATGCTTGTCATGGGTCACATCAAGGATTGACAAATTTCTATGAAGTGTCATGGATGGCTGAAAATTCTACTGCTCTGTCTTGCTGTCATGATGTTGAAAAATGAGTATGAGTATAATGTGTTTGCCTTTCACCTCTTCTTTCCATGCCCAAGTTCTTCTTCAACTGCCAGCCCAACCTCTTCACCACCCTCAAATTCCATTGCTTCAACCTTTCCGCATGCAGTTAGACTGCCATCCTCTGTGCTCATGATTCCATGGACAGTCTTGACTCCAATCACTGGAAGTGGGAATTTCAAGAAGGCAATGATGGATAGGGATGGATCTGGAAGGAGCTCAGTGATAGCAGTTGAAGGAAGCTGTAGTTGGTGAGGGATTTTGGTGGGGAGCATGTTGTATCTGACTCCTGAGTGCTATGAAATGTTTGATCAGACTTGGACAGTTACAAAATTGTTGCTCATTCCCAACTTGGATATTGCTCGGGCATCTCTGCTTTACTTACTACATGGGTGGCAATAGAAGATGTTCTTTGAGCTGTGGAGTTCATGATCTGGCGGTCAAAATTAACATAGTTAAAATTAACTTTTGCTGAAAATTGCAGCACTGTCATGTGTCACCCTCAAATGCTGAGGTGATGAAATGGTGTAGTGTGTCACAAGTCACAGGTGGTGAGTGAAATACTATGGTATATCTGAATTGGAATATGCTAAATTGGTTTCAATGCAATCATTATACTACCTCTGAATCAATCATGATGGTTAAAAGTTTACTTGCAAACAAAGGCCATCCAACTCCAAATCTGAGCCCAGTGGCAGGCATGCTAGATCTCAATGACTTGGAAAATCATGGGGGTGCATCAGATGCAGAGTCCGACACAGTGTCAGACCCAGAGTCTCTTATGTCAGACTATAGTATTGCAGGCAGACCTGGAGATAGGGATGAATCTGACTCACTGAGTGAGCTGAGTCAGGCTGAGGGTTATGAAGCCTTCAATGCCAGGACACTTGACAGTGCTCAGGCCAATGATGACACCCCAATCATATGTGCTGCTGTATCATCTCTGTCAGAACATTGGCATTTGATTGATGTCTGGATGCCACCTACCATCAGTGATGCAAGTCTTGCATTTGATAACCTGAAAATGCTGCTCCACCCACCTTGCAACAATGGACATGGATGTAAACCCTCAGAACTCTCATCTCTCATTGAGAAATGATTGTCATAGATGGAGTATTTCCTTCATTCCTATGTTAATGGGACACCATGGTCAGCCACAGCACTCAAGACAGCAAATTTGTTGGGAAGAGGATGCACATGTCTAGGATGGTGCAGCAGTGGTCCAAGGCATACATATATTCTGGACTGTGAGAATCTGCTGTACTCACAATGTAGTGGGGACTGGACAAAATCTCAGATTGATGATGAAGATTTGAAGGGAGAATTACTTGCACACCTTCAATCACTTGGAAAATATGTTACTGCCACTGTAGTGATTGATTACCTTGCAAGGCCTGATGTAAAAGAATGATATCAGCTACACAAGACTGTTTCCCTTGTGACTGCTTAGCACTGGATGGAGAATTGTGGCTTTTGATGGACTACTGCAAAAAATAGCCAGTATGTTGACAGACATGAGTGTGAGGATGTTGTGAACTTCTGACAGAATATTTTCCTGCCAGCATGGTATGCAATTGATAAAAAGACTCAAAAATGGTCTACAGTGGATGTCAGCAAGCTGGAGGAAGGGCAGTCAACAAATGGAAGATGGACTGTATTGTGGTTTTGTGATGAATCCACATTTTTTGCACATAACTGCTGTAGAGAATGAGATTCCTCCAGGCTTATATCATGCATATTACAACTCACAACAATTGGTACAGTACATCACTCACTCTCTATGACTTTCCCATGAAATGTTGAAGGTTCAACTACTCTGCTGGCTTGCAGAGCTATAGAAAGAAAGAGGGCTCTCACACTAGGGTGAGAGGAAGGCTACTGACTCTCTAGGTTGTTGGTTAAAGTGTGCTAGGCAATATGTTCAACCCTTAAGGGAAGCAAGGAAAGCAAGATCCACAAAGTGATGCCAGGATCAACTCTGGTAAAGTGCATGCGTGGGAATACAGAGTGCGAAGGTGCGTGAAGCATGGGAATAAGGTGTGTGCTGTGTGCAGATGTATAAAAGACTGGTAAAAGTTGTGAGGACATGAACTGGGACTGCTGAATGATGACTGATGATAATGGACTGTTACTGAGGGCTAGGGTGATGACTGATGCATGCTGGCTGAAGACGATAGATTCTGACTCTAGGTGCTACTAGATACTAAGTAACGTGATGGTGGTTGTTGTATTTGTGGTAGACCAAAAACTTCCTTATATGAAAACTTCCCAGGCAACAGGTAAGCTGTGCCTAGGCACACTCCCAGGGCTTGGAAATGAATAGGGAGTGCTCTATGTATGTAAGTGAGGTAAGTAAGGGTCCATGACGAAATCATGTATCATACAATGCTAAATATGGTCTGATAGTGAGAATTAACAGAAAAGGACTCACTAGGGAACTGGTTGGATGATGGATGGATGCTCCAGGATGCTGCATGACAAAGGGCAACCAAGCATGGGAAGAGTGCACTAAGTGCATGTGTAGGAATGTGTTGCATAGTGCAGGAATGTGTCATGCCTCTGGTGTGTTTTGTAGGAAAGTCATAGGGAGTAAGTGATGCACTGTACCAATCATCATGAGTTAAAATATGCGCAATCTAAGCCTAGAGGAATCTCATTCTCTACACCGGCACTTACCCTCTTTCTGGACTTAGGTCCAATTCCTGTCTCTCTGACTCTACCTTAGGGTAGTCTACCTCTGTTTGTTTCTACATTGGACTTCATCTGATGTAGCCCCTATTCCTTCCAGACCTCCAGACATCCTGTCCTCCTGTCCCCCATACTTCCAGACCTCTGGACATCCTGTCCTCCTGTCCTCTGGACCTCCTATCCTTCCATCCTGTTTCCCATAGAGATATTACCTTGGGGTCTCTCCACTTCCTGTGCAGTGGGAACTCCTCTGAGTATTTCCTGTGCTCCTCTGGAACTCTCCCATGCTCCTCCGAAGTCCTCCTGCACTCCACCAGAGTAGCCAGCCTCCGGAAGTCCTTTGGACTTCATCTGAAATGAAGGGCATATACTTGGGTAAGGGGCACAGTGTATGAGCTGAGGTAGCCCCTCTGAGTCAGTCTCTCTCTCCCTTGAGCATGGTTCTTAACACATATCATCAGACTTGCATTTTTGCTACTACTTTTGCCTATGGACTCTGGACTTTCATGTAGTTAGTTATATAGGGTTGGGTGACCAGGATTACAATCACCACTTAGTAGGAGGGAGAAATCCCCAATACTGGTCACCCCATACCTGCCTTTAGAGTTACCCTTGCCAATATACCTGTTGACCCGCTCTCCTTGACCCAACACTATTGTCACTCATTCACTTGACATTCCTTAATATCTCCAAGCTAGTCCTGACACTTTACCTTTCTTTCCCTTACTCTCCCACCATCCCCACATCTCTGCACCTGTGGACCCAATTTCCCATGCATCAGACTTTGCCCTGTACCTTAGGACTTGATTTCAGACTTTCAGACTTTTCATCCCTTGTGCAGTACTGATTATTGAACTTGACTAGACAGCAGATCCCTTGGGTCAAATGTTCTTGCTTGCAAGTGTAGCAGCTAGGCAGGACTAGTAGATATATATTGGCTAGGTATTCTAACAACTATCTAACCAAGTTGTATTATCCACAGCGCTCTTCCCACACTTGGTCGCCCTATGTCATGCAACATCCTGGAGCCTCCATCCATTGTCCAACCAGTCCCCTGGTGTGTTTTTTTTGTTTATTCTGATTATCAGACCATATTTAGCATCATACAATATATTATTCCATCATGGACCCTTTCCTTACCTCATTTACATACACTCAGTGCTCCCTATTTGCTTCTGAGCCCTAGGAGTGTGCCTAGGCACAGCTTGTTATGGTTCTCCCTAGCACCTTCACCTTTTTACCTTTTCATGATGTCACCTTTCACACCTTCACAACTTCACCTTATCACAGATGACATCATACATTCTTTAGTGTTCCATCACATTCTATGGTACAATCTTACATAACATTATATCATTGGCTAGCTACATTAGAGCTCTGCCTGAATACCCTTATATATACACATAGTTACACTCATGTATTCCTTATCTTGACCTTAGCAATACTAAGCTTGTCTCTTAGTAGACTTGAGCGAGGTATTCATTATTATGCGTAACACAGCTTACCTGTTGCCAGGTTAGTTTTTCAACTACCAACTAGCTACCACCATCATGTCAGTTAGTCTAGTTGCTGTCTTCATACCATCCACTAGTCTTTTATATGTTCACACACTGCTTGTGCTTTATTCCCATGCTTGGGACACCTTTGCACTCCATATTCCCCCACACACTTTCATTGCACTTCACCAGAGTTGACCCAGCATAACCCAGTGGATCCTTGCTTTCCTTGCCTCCCTTAAGGGTTGAACATATCGCTTGGCACACTTTGACCAATACTTAGAGAGTCAGTGGCCTTTCTCTCACCCCAGAGTTAGAGCCATCTTTCTTTCTTTTGCTCTGCAAGCCAGCAGAGTTATTAAACCTTCACTGTCACAAGAAAAGATAGGTCCATGAGGGTGAAAAGCCCATGCTGCAGCCAAAGGGAGAAGGATTATCACTGATGGTGGCAGATTTTGTATCTGCAGATTATAGCTGGTTATGGTCACATCATGAAAAGGAATCTGCACAGATTATTTTCTGTGCAGGCAAGGCACAAGATAGCTATTTTTCAAATGATGGAATCATTTGCCATGCTGAGAAAGTGATGGTGATACTGTAACAAGATTACCTGGATGAAGATCACATTGTTGTGTTTGATTATGCCACAACACACCTTAAACAAGCTGATAATGCACTTTCAGCTCATCATATGCCTAAGAATTGCAAGGCTTGGGAAGTAGATACACCAGTCTGTGGACCACATGGGAAGATTTTAATGATGAAGATCCACATTATTAATGGATTCCATAATGGAGTACCACAAGAGTTTTATTGGCCAGAGGGGTCTGCAAATGGGCGGATGTCCAAAGGCATGGCTACTATTTTAACAGAACAAGGTTTTGATGTCAGAAAATTGGGGACATAGTGTAAGAATTTTGAGTGTGCACCTACAGTAACTGACTGCTGTTGCCATAGAATCCTCTATGGTCAACTGGATTTTGCAAATGTCAAGTCTCATTTGGAGAACATGTGCAAGAGCAGGGGGTTTCAAGTAATCTTTCTTCTGAAATTTTACTGTGAACCAAACTTTGTTGAACAGTGTTGGGGATATGAAAAATGACTCTATAGAACTTATCCAATGTTGTCCAAGGACAGCAATTTAGAGCACAATGTAATTAAGGCACTTGATGTCATTCTCCTATCCAGCATGTGCAAATGAGCAACTCTCCAAGTCTTTTGAATTAATCTTATTCATGGGACCTTTGTTACTTAGGTTTGTGATCTGATCATGTCACTTCATTGATGGAGTCAGGCTGCCTGGGCAGCAAAGAAACATCATGGGCACTGTGTTCTCTTACCTTCAATCCTTAGTAAACTTGATGCAGCAAAGGTGATATAGTTGAATATATACATATCCACTGGTTTGGAACATTACTACACCATACAATACTTTGTTTCATGATATCTAGAATACATGAAACATTGTGCACTAAATTGTGACTCTGACTGTGGCTTGCTGTGATCAATAAGCAAGTCACACCTCTGTCACATCACATGATGTTTACAGAAAGTGCCTGAAGTCTCTCTTATGTGAAATTATGCTTCTCCCCAGTTGTCTGTTTCAGCATGCTCACAAGATGGTCATCTCATCTTCAAGCCTCAGGCCCAGAGCCCACAAAGCTTACAAGGGCCCATGGATTGGTCTAGCAAACAAGGCCAAGATGTGCTGCATGAAACAGTCAACACAGCATCATGCCCAGTTGCTTGGTGAAGTGGCCTCTGATACCACTGCTGCTACCCACTCCAAAGACACTTGCATGATCACTGGGGTTACAGCACTGCTTCCTCCTGCTGTGAGTAACTGTAAAGGTCATGCTCAAAGGTCACAGATCCAAAGAGCTTGGCCTCAGCTCATGCACTGTGCCCCTTACCCAAGTACTTGCCCTTACATATTTCCAAGTAGCAGAAACTAAGTCCAGGACTTCCAGAGTATTAGTAACTATCAGATCCAAAAGCCTAGAAGGTAAGACATCAGAACATCCAGACAGTTTCTGGATATTGATTGGAGAATGAATATAAGACTAACCCAGACAAAGTCTGAACTAGAAACTAGCATAGGTGGAATATCCAAAGATAGAAATGGAGATGCAAACTATAGGAATTAATCCCAAGTCTCAGAGGTTGACAAGAGTTGAGAGAACTCAAGTCTGGAGGACAGAAATGAGCAGAACTAAGATGATATTTG